ACACCTTTACTAGAATAATTTGGATGATTTCAGCCTTGGAATTGCCTATCTCTACTGAACAAAAGGTAAAAAGTAGCTGTTAAACTTGAAAACTACATGACATTACAAGGAGAAATAGAGTATTTTTAGATTTGGAGATATAAATAGTGTAATAACAATGGATTGCTCAAGCATGTGTGTGTGTTTTGACAAGGTAACAACATTCTATCATGTCTTAAAACTTATAAGAATCAATTTTGGGTAATAGGACCTAAATACTAATGCTAAAATATATTGTTTGAAGTCTACCTGTTTATACCAAATAGTGGCTTGGATTTAAACTAATAAATAAATGCCATAAATCTGAGTTGCACCAAAATAAAAGTATGTGTGTGCTAAAATAGTGGTGTGGTTTGCAGAAGCCAGCAAATGTACCACAGTGTTTTCAATACAAACAACCTTAATGTCGCTTTCTACCAATGAAATCACGAGTTACAAATAGGTCATAACTGAGCTTAATGCCAAGTAAAAGTTTGCATGATTTATTTCACTAAATCACAGTGGATATATGGACTTAAGATGTTAATTTGTTTTCATTTTGTCCTGGTTTCAGCTTGAAGTTTGCCTTATTTAGTTGTGGATTTCTGTGTTAACCTCTACGCCTATTTGTTACCCAGTTTAGAGCTGCGTTGGTGTTCTTTTGGGTAAATTTTCCTCCATTTACAAAAGATTGCACTTGTGTAATACATTTCCGAAAACAAACACTTGGACATTTGTGCTGTAATGACCAGGACAGAGGGAGGAAAGAGGAGATTGTGGAGACTGGTGCAGAGCGGGGTTGCAGCTACGTGGAGCTGCCATAGCAACCACTTATAACAGAGCTATTTCTGTCCTCTTTCAACTCCCAAACACAGCTGCTCCTATAGAACACTCTCATCCTGCTCTAGACATACAATCTGTGTTTATAACATGTACAGCAAGCTTTGTCAGACGCACTAAAGACGAGTTTAAAGCTTCGGCAATTGGTTTTAATATTAGCTTTTTCCCAACTTTACTTTGTGAAAATTTTTAACAGTACCAGATGTAACTGAGCGCTTTATATCAGATATTAGAATGAAGATGTTTTTTGTAAAAGACACAACTGAATGCCATCTGGATATTATCACTTTTTGACCTGAGAACAAAGGAATACATCTGCAAGTCGAGTTTACCGATAATTTATACCACCATTCCTTTTTATTATTGCCATTAATGGTTATTGTGGGCACATTATGTTGTCGAGCCATTGGTTTCTGAGTGATGAAAAATTAGCACAGTTGGCATAGGAATTAACAAAACACAATATTCAGTCCTCAAACTGCTGTCTACAATCAAGAAGCTGAAACCCAATATTAAAGGAAACCATACAATGTTGAAAGTCTACTGACTAATATGACCTTTTAACAGAGTTGGTGGTCCACTTCCATCTCAATTCTGTATATTTTGCCAATGTGTCGCTGGGCAAGACAATTCATCCTCACTGACAACACTGCAGTGAGGCTGGCTGATACAAAAGGGACATTCTGCTAATGTAATCTTGTTTTATTGCTACCATTATATTGTATAGCAAAACTAATCTTGATAATGCATCAGCCTATTGTTCTAATATCTTGCAGATCCAATTGCTTTTGTGCATAATTTGTGTTGACAAGCATTTCAATAATGATTTCAACAGAGTCATTACAACTCTCCCCGAACATTTGACAGAAATCCATGCAAACAGATTACACTGGCAGATCAAGCCCCCTGCGCTGTGTCTTGGGGCCATGGTGTTGGCTCCAATAACAGGCTATTTCCTGAAAGTCTAATAAAGAAACAGGGTTCACACATTATTACCAAAAAAGATTAGAAACCGTTAAAAAGCCACCCTAAGGAGCACGTGGATTTTCGTATTTGCTGCAGGCACCACCGCCATTGTTATTGCTGTCAGCCGTGAGCTTCCAGCCATTCACTTCTTGTCCTTTACGCATTACTTAGGCCGGAGCAACAGCGCCCCCTACTGCACAGATACGAAAAGGTCACGTGTTTTGGTGCTAAATTCAGCCACAAGGAGCTGACTCATACTGCATTTGATGAGGCTCAAACGTAGCAGGAGTGCAATTAAAGTAATGACATTAATTTAAAAGAACAGTTGTTAACGCTGTTTTGTTTCTATTATTATAGTCCCCATTATCAAGAACACAGGAGGTGAATGTGATTAAAACTAATACTTCTGCTGTGTCATCCTCAAAGGCAAAGCAAAGAGGGTTATGGCCACTTGGCTTGCATATTAATGATAGCCCTAAACTTTTTAGTTCATTTTATTTTGTGGATTACAGTTGATTTGTGAATTTAATTTCAGATCAATAAAATATATAGGCTATCTGTTATCATATTTATGGCCTACCCTCTCATATTTCTAATCGAATAATGTGTCTGACAGCTGTCTAGAGCAGGCACATTCAAGAGAAGCATTGTACGTACACCCTGAACGGAAACAGAGAGTTTATTTTTTATTTTTTTGTCATGCTATCACACTGTACATTGACCCACATGGATATATGGCTGGATAAGAATATATCAGTGATCCAAACACGTAACTAGATCATATAGAAAATACATATTCTCTTGATTTGATCTAGACATCAGTAATATGTGATTCCTATAAGTAGCGGTGGTTTACATGCAGCCACATTTACCTTGTTGATTTTTTAATTAGCCTGAAATTTGTTCCATTCAACAATACACCAATATTTCAATTTGTAAGTACTTTTTAAAGACACCATGTAACATTTCTGGTGGAGATCTTGCTTGCTTGCTTCCATGGAGATCGTACTGCTTTGGTTTCAGGTCAGATCTGGAGCAATTGAAACACCTCTAATTGAACAATAATAACATCTCTCTAGTGATAGACCCCCACTGGAAAGGTTACACAGTGCACCTTTAACCGTGGTCAGTGTAAAAAACCAATTCGACCTTTACTCGTCCAAACCCTATAAACCAGACCAGCTGGAGACCTGTTCCAGTGACCCAGTCTGCCATGCTCTAGCCCCACTGGCATCACCTGTGCACACATTAATAACAGAACCAGGCCAATGGTCCACAGTTTGGTTCAAGGACCAGCTTAACCTGGGATGCCGTTATTCTCCTTCTCCTCCTCCTCTCCCCATAGGACATATTACCAACAAGACATAGTACAGCAGGCTAGACTCCCCCTTTCTTTCTAAATGAGCGCATAACTGGAAAAATGGTACACTGTCCTCCATTTAGTCCTCACTCGACATTTCTGGGCCGCCGTTCAATTTTCATTTTTCACTCCAAATGTAGAAAAACTATTCGCCCACTGCTCCTGTTTCCTGGCAACAACCACTGAGGCGTTTTTTTGTTTTTTTTTCTAGTTGGGCCGTAGAGACCTTTAGAAAAACAGCTGCAGACAGGATAAAAATAATTACGGCTCTATTTGTCTTCCAAGAGACACACTTTCGGACCAAACTTACTCCCTTTTCCCTGTTCAAGCTGCTCTACTTGCACTGGCACTCACAATGAAGCCATTCTAAATATTCTGAACCATGTATAAAATTATATGCATTGACATATGGACTGGAGTGAAAAAGGAAAAAAAATATAGTAAACGCAATTACACAACTGCAAATGTACAATAGAGAGATTGTACTAGCAACGCATGTCATATACCATATACAGTCAACACATTACAACCCTGCATGCCAGCACACCAAAAAAGTATTGATTTCCTTGCAAGCAAAAGAGCTTTCCTTTCAAATCTGACTTTTTATATTACATATGTAGTACATCTACTTTGTTCCATCCATGAAAAAGTCAGACATCCTGTATAAATAAGTGGGATGAGAGATTAAACCCTAAATGCTGTGCAGGAAAACGTAAGTAGGACATGTGTTCACCCTAACATTGCAATGGGAAATAAAAATATAAAAAATTTGGTATTTAGTTTAACTTTTTTTTTTTAAACACCATTTTCATTGCTAGATTGAGACGTCTCGGGGCTTATCTCTGTGCCATACACTGTACAATTTTCCATTACCAGAATTCTCCACAATTGAAAGTTAGTGTGTTAAAATATTCCATGCAATACTACTGCCCCCTGCTGGTGAAAATGAACGAGTTGCAGTTGGGTTTGTACGCGTTTTATTTCATGTTTTTCACCATGAGTAGATATGCAAGAGACTATTGGTTATAAAAATAACATTTAACAAAGTAACGAATGAACAACAAGTGCGATCTTAAACACAAACTCAGAAACACAAACTACAAACTGTTGACACCATAATCAGAGTTTCATTATCCCTAAAGCTTCCCCAATTATAATTAATTTTAGTACAAAATAAATAAATTGAAGGTGGTAAATTAGTCATCTTTTGTTGGATTGTAGGACTGTGAAACCATCCCCAAAGTGTCTAAATGTCATGAAGTTCGGAGTGAAACATCAGATGAAGACTTGTCCAAAACTTGGCTGGTTCAGTCCACCTCAGTCACAGCAGTGACCTAAGCAGTACTCATTCAGAAAGGTCTAAAATCCCTTTATGGAATATTAATAACACTATCTCATCATTCAACGTCATCTTCTGATAAAGACTGGGCGCTGATGATACGCTGCAAAACACAAACAAACATTAAACAGTCTGCAACTTAAAGTACCAAAAAGATTTGGTTTTTCATACATTTCATCAGAAATGATGAAATGTAAGCACTTGTGTAAAATCTTTGCATCACTTTAGTTTAACACTTCAAAGTAAGTTTGAGGATGGACAGAAAATAACAGATCAGAGTTGGTTGTACAAAAGTGTGGCTAGCAGCTAAGCCTGTGCAAAGAGAAAAAACACATTCCCACTTCTTAAAAAAACTTCCCTGAACTTCCTACAATCTCATTACAAATTCATTAGTTACAAGTTACTAATTAATATGAAGCAATTTCAAAAGGAGACTACATTCAATTAAAAAACAAGGACATACTATTAAATTTAAGATATTGTCTTAGGGGTGAAATAGCCGAGAGCAACTAGCATGCCTCCAAGCTTTGGAATCCTACATTTTTTGTTGCACCCTTTCTTGTCCCAGAGGCAGAGGAGAGACACTGGGGGGTTTTCAAGAATGCATTATGCATACTGTATATAAAAAAAAAAAGTATTAAACACAGATAAACTCACCTGGCTGATGCTGGGGAGCTTTGTGAGCAGCATCTGGAAGACTGGAGGGGGCAGGGTCTGCTGAAGGACCTGGAGGAGCTGCTGTGGCTGCCCACATACTGCGATGGCATTGGTCAGGTGGTCTACACCCTTCTCAAATTCACCTGAGAAAGGACATTACAGTGAGTATATAAACATAAGGCGTACATGCATACAGTAACGTAAGGGGAACTTATGACAGACAATACAGAGAAAATAAGAGGAAAAAGTAATAAATGTCTTAGAGGTGAAATAGCAAAGAGTCATGGTATTTACTCTCAGCTTTGGAGTTCTAAGTTTACTGTTGCATCCTTTCTTGTCCCAGGGACTATTGAAGTGACTGAGGGGTTTTCAAGGATGCCACGTGTAATTCAATTCAACATTCAGACCTCATGGCAACTTTTCTAGGCCACCATAAAAGATTATTGGGCATTTCACCTGTGTGTTCTCCACTTTTGTTTACTTAAACAGTGTTGTGTGTTGCAATTTGAAGTCACACACACTGTTTATTTAATATGTTGTTTGGTCTATTTTCTGTCATTGCGTGAAGTCGGGTTGTGACATTTTACTACAGTTTTCGTCATGAACACGTGACTGACTGAATGGCCCATTCACTAGAGAACAAATGCATGTAGATAATAATAACTGATAATGTTTAAATACTGCACATAACTAAAAGCATTTAATCCACAGAGCAGAGCTGACCTTGTGACAACAGCTCTTCACCAAGCTGGATCTCCTCCAGGAAGAACTTCTGAACAGCTTCGGCGTCTTTGAGGTCGGGGAGCTTCAAAGTCAAAGACAAATTTTAAGTATTTGGTCAATATAAATCACCACGTACTCATTAAAACACGTCTTTGACCTACATACCTTTGCCAGTCCAGACCTCTCCGCGGAACTTTTCTGTTTTCTTCGCCCTGTGACAGAAATTGAACATAATGTGACTTCTGTGAATTTTGTAACCGTGACACACATGTGATTGAAATTAGCATTGAGCTAATAGCATGTGGCGGCTATTCAAGAATTACATTTTTGGGACTGTTCTTATATCATAATATCCAACAAAGCATGTATAGATGATGAAAGCTAATTAACAGGTCCACATAAAATCGTGTTTATCTCGTCGTCCTTGATCACTGTAATGCTAACGTGCTGCTGCTACATAACCACAGCTAATGCTAGGCTCTCTTCCTTCTCCAGGGTGAATGACGTTAGCTACTCACGTTCACGTAGTTTTTGCTTGAAGTCTGGATCACTCCGTCGCTTTCTGTCAAAGTATATACAATACGCAACAAATACGACCCCACATACCCCGGCGACAATCGCACTCGTCTTGCCGCTCATCATCACTCAAACTCCTCATGAGCTACAGGCTAAAGCTAACACGAAGCGGCGAGGGGGGCGGAACCGGATGCACGTGACACGTGACCGAGGTATGACGTATTTCCGTCTGAAGTTTTTATTATTTATATTTTTTACCTTTGTATTTGGTCATTTATTTGCTATCTATGACAAGTGCGAAATGTCAATGTTAAAACAAAATGTTAAAATGAAACTAATTTTTGTATAATCAAAGTATAAACACGAGGACACTGTGAATGCATTTAGGGCTGCAACCATTAATACACTTTATTTGTAAATATTTTCTTTCTAATAGCCTTTGGTTATATTTCAACCTTTATTTTGTTACAACTGATGTAAATACCTCTACGTACTCTACAGTGTTTTCCGTTGTCTCTTGTACTGACAAGATGGAATGTGGCCATTGGGCCAATTCTAGCATATTTACATTGTATGTTCATTAATATGCATCGTTTCTTAAATAAGTAAAAATCTAAATAGTTGTTTGACTAGTTGTCAACTAAAATAATTGTTAGTTGCAGCCCTAGCATCATTGCACCATTTTGTTTTATTTTAGGACAAAGTCTTAACAATCAATGTTTGTTGCAGCATTTGAAACGTGTTATTATTCCCAGTGACTACTGGCAGACACAAGACTTCACAAACTATGGCATTTTATTCAAACAGAAGCTTCTGCTTTGCTTACATTTTTACAATAAATTACACATGACCATCATGAGATGAGCCTAATAAATACTATTAAGCATTGTCCAAAAAGCTCCTTTACTTTCACTTAAACATAGCATCAGACCATTCTCCATTTACAGCGTCATACAACTGTTTAGGCCATGTACATGTCAGAAAATAGGTTAGCCCAACCAAAACATTCTTCTTACAAGCAGAAAACAAAACACAAAACAAATGCAAAACCTAAACTTGAAAGGAACAAAAGTATGGAAAAGGCGGAAAAGTAAATGAACTAAGTAACTAAAGAAAACGGGACAAACATGCGGTAACCCTCTGTATTTACACTTAAACTACAGTTAAAACCGTAAAACTGTCTTTACAGAAAAGTACATGTTATTAACAGTGCAAGATATTAAATAGCTTGACTCAAAACACTTCTCAATATACAAATGTATAACAAAAGCATACAATTACATACAAGTGCCGAACAAAAAAACATTACTTCGGGGCAGTATCATACAGTAGGGAGTCTGTACATAGGAAACACTGGAGATGTCTTCAGAAATGTACACACATACATCACTTTTTGATATAAATGCACATTTTACATTAACTCTACTCTGGTCTTAGCACATACATAGAGAGACCCCAGATTTTTGGTAGGGACTGATGAAAAAAAGAACTGATCGGAAATGTGGTGAGAAGATAATATATGGGGGAAAACTGAAACTGGTTCGGTATTAATCAGTGATGATTTAAAATGATTTAAAATTAAGTTAATGTTGTTTTGGTAACACTGTGCATTTTATTTTATGGAGTTAATGTTGTGTTTTGAAGGTAAAATGATCCAGTTGAAATGTTACCAATTTCTCTTTGAAAATAAAGAGACAATTGGACTTGAGATGAAAACATGATGAAATAAGTAGATATAGATTTGATGACATTTGCTATGGTTAATAGAAATGTGGTTGTTACTGAATCTTCAAACTATAAACGTGCAGAAAATGCCAACCAATCCCAACAATATATACGATCTGTATAAGTATCTATAGCAGAATTACCTGACAATTCATGATGTTGTCTAGCGGCTCTTACCAAATGGCCATTCATAAAACTCATGTGATAGACTGCATTTTAAAAAAATCTACACATAAGTGCCATCGACAACCACACACCAAAAACCCTGGAGTTATGAGACCAATGCATTGAACTTTGCACATTTGTACTGCAGCTTTACCCAAGTCATGAGTCCTCAGTAGTCGATTACAGACGATCCAGTTTGTTTAAATTCAGAATTGTTAAATATAGCCTGTCAGACTCATTCATACAGCATTCTTCAGTCTTTGTAAGAGACATTTGTCCAGGAAACCCTATGATTTGGGAAAGTGCTGTCCTTTCTCAAAGTGCCCCATGAACAAGAACAAGAAGGCACTACAGTTTCATTCCTAATATTCGTTTTGTCTGTGGGTGTGCGATGATTTAAAATCCTATCCATAAACAATGATAAGACTCAATGGGAGCATACAGGAGCACAGTCCTGTACTTTGGCCATTAAAAGTTGAACCACAGGAGAGGTTTTTCCAATGAGTGGACAGAGAAACGTGGCTTTGTTACACTGAGGTTGCCCTTGATGCCAATAATAAAAGGAGAGCACCAGCCCCCCATGTGAACACAGAGCACATCCCTAACCTCTACAACTTTATCAAATCAAATTATTGCTTGAAAAAAACTATTCTTATAAATGTTTAATTACGGAGAGTGAAAAAACAAATTGTTTTTTTTTTTTTGACAAATTGAATCCCATACACAATCTTCATAAAAGTGCACTTAAGTGCCATTAGCTTGCCAAGAAACAGTTGTCAATAGAAAATAGTGCTTGTTTGTTGTTTTTTGTCTCTGGTCTGGTTTTTGTGCCCCAGTAGTTACAGTTTGTACTTGTCAGTCTTGTTGGGTGCTGGTTAAGTGCTTAAGTGCAGTGTCTCCGGTGTGGGACGTCCTGTCACCTACACTCCACTGAGACCCCAGAAGTTTGAGAGGATGAGGAGGAGACGGGCGGGTCCGCTAACGTTAGCATCACCGCCGCTGTGAGTGAGCTGGAGGAGGGAGAGGAGGAAGATGAGGAGGACGAGCAAGCCGCCACAGCACCTGGAAATAACAAACAGAAAATCATTTCACATCTAGAAAATATGTCCAAACAACTGTAATTGCTGTATTTGGAAGACAAAGTGCAAATAACTGTTGTTTAACTAAAGTTTAACATTTTCTCTTTCATTTTTGTCACATTACACATCAGTTTGCCCCTTTATTGCATAATTTAAGTCTGTCAAAACCTGCCCATGTCTGAACAGTCTGAAAGAAATCAGATTACTCACATCAAATATTTGGTTTAATTATAAACACAGTTTCTATAGAGTTCCTGCTTATCTAAGTTACTATGAATTTTTACTTACTTTCCCGTTCTTTCTTTTTCATGCGTTTCCTTCGTCGGTCGATGGAGGCCACCTCAGACTTGAGCGAGAGGTAGTGGTTCCTGATGTCCTGCAGCTTCTCCTGAAGAAATGAAATCCTCTCCAGACTGCTCATCTTCTCCAGATCAGCTACAAACACAACAGGTACAAGGTTAGGCACAGTTATGAGCATTTCATATTTATAGCCAATGAAGTAAATCAGATTTAGGTTTCTTAGGCCTTGCTAATAAAACAAACCAAAAATAATAATACATATTTAAAAAACTGTGTGACAGAATAGCTTGCAGACATCATTGGCTGATGCCTCTTCAATTGACAGATCTACACAGCCAATACGGGGTAATGTAAGCACATGGTATAGGATATTCATTATTTAACCAATTTTGTTGCTGCTATATCAACCAGCACAACTGAATTGGCCCAAGTCTGGTGAGGTATATTTAACAAAATATCAATAAATATGTTAACTTTTTAAAATAAACTATCCAAATTTAATTCAAACAAGGAAAAACATAAAAACTTGTACTGCAGTATTTCAAATTTGCAAACCTCCAACCATATAACTTCACTTACACATCTGGAAGCTCCACTTGTAGACCCGTGGCGATCTCCCGTGGTGATGGTGCTCCCTCTGGTGGTGGGAGTGGTCAGTGTCACCCTGCTTGTGGTATTTATGGCTGGATGGAGGAGAGCGCCCGGGACACTTGGGTGAAACTGCAGCCTTCACATCCGATGTGGGATTTTTGGAGGCGGTTGGTTTGGCTTCACTAACACACTGGTCTTCACTGTCACTGCTATTGGCTGCAGAGGAGAAGAAAACAGAGCATTTACCAAATTTACACTTCCAACACACTGTGCAGTCTCTTAAAGTAATAATAGTGAGGTGAATGCAGTGAGCTCTGCTCCTTCTGAAATATGAATGGCCTGAGATGGTAGCTGAATGGACGATCAGATGTTACCTGTTTTCCTGTTCTTTTTGGGAGGCACGCCGAGGCTCTTTCGGTTTGGCTTGTGTTTCTTTGAGGCTCCGGGCTGAGAGTCTTTCTGCCGTTTCTGACTCACTGGTGCTAAAAATGAAGAGAGTTTAGAGACAGTGAGAGAGAAGAATTATACTCACTCTGAAAATGGGATGTTCTTACCTTTGGGTTTCTGCTCGCTCTCCTGCTGACTGCTGCTGCTCAGCTCCAGGCTGCAGCTGCTGCTGCTGTTACAGGACAGACTGGGGTCAAAAGGTTTGGAGGGGGAGCCCGCCCCCTCGTCCTGAGGCAGGTCCTGCTCTCCGCCCAGACTCTCCACTTCCACAGTGCTGCTGTCGGACTCACTGCGGCCAGGGCCCTCCTCTGCGGGGACACCAGGGGGCAGTGGAGCAGAGGCTGGCTCCTGGGGCAGGGCGGGGGGAGTGACGGGGCGAGGTGAGGGGGGTTGAGCGGGTCCTGAATCCTCCACTGCACTGCCCCCTCCTGAAGCAGATCCCGGGGTGGAGGGGGGCGTGTTCAGGACAGAGTTACTGCCGCTGCTCGGAAACTCCGGTTTGTCCAAGTCCATCTGCTCCTCTGACACCTCATCCTCCGGTCCACCCTCAGGATCCTGGGGCCCATCCAGGCAGGACGGGACGGGGGGCGGAGGGGGGCTGGCTGCCTCTGTGTCCGAGTCAGAAAACAGCTCTTTCAGAGTCTTTTTTGGCCATTGGGCCTGGATACTGGACCACACGTCTTTTTGGCCCTTAGAGCGCACAGCAGGACGCTCCTCTGAGCTTGGAGACGTCTTGGGCCTCTTCTCTGGGATCTCCCAGAACCCAGACTGGCGTGCCTTGTTCTTCTCCTTCATACCGTTGTACTTCTTTGAGGGGGGACCTTTGGTTTTGGGGCGGCCGCGCTCGCTGCTCTCTGGCTGGACATCTGTGTTTTCGTCCTCTGAGCTGCTGCTGTCCCCTCCTGGAACCGGTCTGTCCTGTTTACGGGGGGCTGTCCCAGGGAGCCAGTCCGCGCTCCTCGTGCTGCGGGTCTTCGCTTTAGTGTGACTTTTGGGGGTCCGCTCCAGCACCCCGTCAGACTTCCTTTTCCTACCGGTCACTTCTGGCTCAGTGTCATTCTGGTTCCTTCTCTTCACAGTGTCGGTGACCTCTGACCCCACAGCATCCTGGGACTTCCCTGGTGCAGGGGCAGGTTTGGCGCCCTCAGGAGGGGCTCCTGCCTCCCAGCGCTCTGCTGTGGGACAGGTCTCTGAATGGCCCTTCCTGCCCCGCCCCGGCCGCTCCTCCTCCGGGCGCCCTGCCTCCTCTTCCTCACGCTCACTCTCATCTGTCGACATTTCCGACGCTGTAAAGAAACAAACTCTTTTAGTCACAGCACAAACCAATAGCCCCTTCACATCACAAGTGCTCATTACCTTGCAGCCCATTGAGGATAGATGTGATTTCTATGGCCTTGGCTGCAGACTGCTGATTCACTCTGTCCTCGCTGTCGTCCATTTTGGAGAAGACGTCCTGACTCAGACATTTGGAACGAGGGCCACGACTCAAGCCCAGACCCTCCCTTTGATTGAGCCGCTCCAATCTGTCCCGCTCCCTCTCGCCCTTATTCTGTTTGTAAAACCACAGTCAGTACATCAAGTCCAATCGCTTTTCAAAGAACCCTTCTCAAAACCCTGTTACCTTTATTTTCCTGCGATGCTTTATTTTGGTTACATTCTTATTCGCTGGCCGTAAAATCTTGTCTGCTTTGACCCATTCATCATATCTAAAAGGCAGGTACAGAGAACAGGATTTTATCATTACTCAGTTCACAATATAAGCCACATGAAGCACATCTAAGCTTTTCACACTACCCAGTTGTCTCAAATCCACCAGACACATAATTAGCCTCGACAGCAAAGAAGGCAGTGGTAATATGAGGAAAGACAAACCTTTACAATGGAGAAACAATAGTACACCAACCACCACACAAATTATAGTCAACATAGTTCCCACAGAAGCAAAGGGCAGAGGGTCAAATGAGGAGAAGTGAAAGATTCACAACAGCACACACAACAGACAATGCAGAGAACAGCCCTGTGCCTTGTATAAAGGGCTAAAGGACACACCACAACAGTTAAGACAATGAGAAACGCTGTGTATAAACTGATTTCTCTAGTTGGTTCCCTGACTGAGTCTACCCTGACCCACGAGGAGGGGGGAGAGGGTTGAGAGGTAAAGGTGAGTGTAGCTGGCCCTTTAAATATCCAAGAAGTCTTTGACATTAGTAGATTCATTTAAGAAGACTGGATAATGAGAATGTTAACGCAAATTCACAGCTTTGATTAATTGTTTCAAAGCTCTGGTTTAAGAGACAGACAGGGGATTCAGTCTTGTTTCCACTGAAGCAGTAAGACATGGCCTGGGTCAATACGTTTTCATTTAAACTGGTGCAGTGCGCCCCAAATGTACTGTCCTCAACCAATTTAGAGACAGTCCAGAGCCAAGGGGCCAACAGAGTTTTAGCAAACAATGGACTGGGTCAATTTGGAAAATGAAAAAGTTTGACGCAAAGAAGAAAACATCTCAAGGGACGTATGCTTTCATGTTTGGTATTTAATTAAATTGCAGTCATTGTTATTTCTTCTATAGAACTATATATACTATAATTACTTATAATTTTGAATTAGTTATGCCATGGGCAAATGTATCTAGCAGAGGTTCCAGAGGCTTTAACAGAACCTAAACTGTGTCAAAGGGACAGTCCGTGCCGTACCCTCCAGTGGAAACAAGACTTCAGGTCTAGAGGGAGCTGAGGAAAGACTAGTTCAGTTTGACCACTAGATGGCCTTGTTTGAGATCAGAGGGAGAGGATGTGCTGCGTGGCTGCAGGGATCGCTCTGTGAGCTGAGGTTAACAGATGTAGTTTTAGGTGATTGTGGAGTTAGGTGGTTCTCCCCAGGCCCTGTCTTACCTGATGTTCCAGCCACAGTAGTGCACCAGGTAGAGCACCTGTCCCCCCTCCACGTCTGCCTCTTTCACAGTGGCCTGGTACGTCTTCAGAGAGCGGCCTCGCCCATACCTCACCTGCACCTTCATCCCCGGGGGGTAACACTCAAACTCCTCCCCCTCCTCCCCCTCCTGACTGCTGTCATCCCTGCAAGAAAAACAGTTCAGCACTTCCTGGCCCTAGGCTGAAGTCACCAGACCACAGCCCCCGCCCCCCACCCACTATCTCATCTCTCTACTCTCACCTGTCTTAAATTAGCAACATTGTCTGTGTTAAGACTTAATTAGCTTTCCATAAGCCTCAAAACTAATATAAGCTTCACCTAAACCAGTCAAAAGAAAACAACATGGAGAATAAACAAAAGTAAAATTAATATCTGTTCATGGCAAAAAATATCTTATGGTAATTGTATCATCAGCCTCTCACAACACACTCAATCCCACTCACTCACACAATATAGAAAAAGCCACAAGGGGGAGCCAGTGAGCGCCAGAGGGAAGGTGCATTGCCAGTACAGTACAGGCCATAGAAGGCACAGGGTCAGGTTAGCACAGCAAAGCATGCCTTGGCAAGCAGAGCAGCTGGTCTACAAAGAGTTAAAAAGAGGAGCACAGATGTAATGTCCGATTTGGTCCGGTGCCACAACAAACAGCTGCAAAACAGAGCCCCTCTCAAGCCTAACACAACCTTCCTTCTTTTGAACAGTACATTTTAAACAAACTATTGTCAAAAACTGTCGCCAAAAGCACCAAAACCCAAGCCACTATTTCAGTACAATACAAACTACATCATGGCTTTTGTGCAACGAAACTGCACTGAGTCACAAATCACAATAAACTCTAAACTTATTTTTATTTGAATTGTTTATGTAGTGATGGGCTTTATGCTTAGTGACGGGCTTTATGCTCACAATTTTCATTTGATTTGCTTATAATTCTTTTGGGCTTTGTACCTACCAGTATATATTATTTTTAAGTGACAAATTTCGCTTTTATCAGGTTGGACAGTTCAGATGGAAGTTTTCTGCGAGAGCGGTGTTCGTTCACTTGACCTGTGATGCTCATGTGCTTTTAGTCGGATGCTGGAAATACACTCATCTGTTTGTGACTCAGTGTTTGAGCAAAAAAAATAAATAAATAAAAAATAACAACAGATGTGGCTTAGTTCTTTAAAGCTTTTTTGGCACTTGATACAAAATATCTCGATTCAATCCATCTCATATATTGACTTAGACAAACTTTATTGATCCACAGGGGAAATTATTTGGACACAGTAGCTCACATATCATAATATATTACAATAATAAATTCACCAATTCCACCAATAAACCGTCCCTGCCACCAGAATTCCCATTTCTTGAGCATATGACAAGATGCAAATTCGGCTTGGAAAGAATTTACAATTTATCCAACACCACATGAAAGCAGCATAAAGCCAGCTGCTGTTTATGAATTTCACACTTTACTGTGCCTGGTTAACTGTCACTCCCTCGGCACATGATGAGGCTGGCCAATAGTTGCAGTGGATGTGGATAGTGTGTTTCAGCTTAGAGCTGTATTAAACAGAAAAGCACCGAATCACAGTACAACAATTGCAACATCATCAACAACACAGCAGATTGCAACAAGAATGAGATCATGATTTGATTTTAATCGCCGTACCACTCAATGTGGTTAGTGTGTAGGAAAGTGTACTTCAAGTCAGTGCACTAATACCAACAGAACCTTCTCGGAGTCCAGGCCTGATCCAGACTGAAGCTGTAAACCTCAAACACGACGATAGAATCAGAGAAAGTTATTATCAGATCATTATCAGCGCAAGGGCCCGTCTGAACACCAAACACCAAACTCAGGCTCCGGCAGCAGTGAGTGTGAGATACTGAGATCAGGAGGATTCAGTCACAGAGTCTGTCTATCGTCACCATCACACCAGCCTCAGGACAGCGATGCTCGCAGTCTAATACAAACTCAAATGAAGCACAAAGCGAGATCAAACTATGTAAAAGGGAGTCTGGAGTAGTAGTTTTTGTGACAGTTCAATATTCTGATGTGCAACTGAATTGAAACATTATTACATTACACAACATATCGGACACAAGGGCCGCTGCAAGATGTGTCCTAATTGAATCAAAATTGCAATCTAAAAGCAATTAGCAAATCACAAAAAATGCAAATATTTAAGTAACATTATTTCCTTAACAATGACAAAAGCACCTGATTTGAACAGACTAAATACTTGAACACTGTATAGTGGTAAATATAGCGCATAACGGATTCTATAATAAATGTATGGCTTATACGTAGATTATTGATAAAGTGCTTTTATTTCGGTGTTGTTACTACTATTGTCCGTCTTCATGTTAGAATGTAATGATGTTATTGAAAACACAGTTTGAGGCACAGTTGCCAAAGGCTGCAGTCATTTGCACAAAACAATCTAAGAGTCTTTTTACAGAAAAATCTTAGTTTGTAGTTTAAACCTTTACTAAAATGCCCTGAAATGTATACAGGATTGTTGTATTAAGTTTATCAATTCATAGTTTCAATCTTCAATCCAATATTAAAGCTGCTGGGTTTTTTACAATATGAAATGCGAACAAAATCCTACTTTTTAAACATACTGAAGGACTAAACCAGGACTACCTCAGCTCAACCAGGACAGTCAACAAGAACTACAAAAATCATATCCAGAACTAAACCAGGACTAGATTTTAGGACTCAATCAGGAATTTGAAAGCAGGTCTAAAGCAGGCAGGACTAAACCAGTTGAATCAGGATTATAGCAACAAGGACTCGAACAGAGCAGCCCGCATAGTGTCTGCAAAGACTAAAACAAGAAACTAGCCCACAGTGAAAGTCTACAGCAGTGCTCCACTCATCTCTGGTGTAATCCATCATAGACAACACTCACACACGTGTAACATTTAGAGAAGTCGAACATCAAAAGCCAAAGAACACAGAGAGGGAGGAGAAAGGGAGAAGAGAGAGGGGGGAAGAGAGAGCAGAAGGTTCAGGAAAAGGCCAGGAACCAACATGAGCGGAGGCGTGATGTGTACGGACAGTCAGAAAGAGAGGGGGAGGGAGAGAGAGAGAGCGAAGGGGAGTGAGGAAGATGGACAGAAAGATGGGTTAGAGAGTATGAGTGAGAGAGAGAGTGGGGGAGAGAGGGGAAGCAGGAGAATGAGAAAGGAAATGGCAAATGTAAGAGAGAGAAATGGAGAAAGATGGACCGAAAGAGAGGTGAGAGAGGAAGAGGGATAGAGTGGGAATAGAAAGAGAAAGAACAAGAGAGGGAGAAGGTAGGGATAGTCAAACAGAGTTAGGGTAGAAAAACAAAAATGTCCAGACAGACGGAGCAAAGAGGAAAGAGGACGAGGAAGAAGACAGTGAAAGACAGAATAAAACAAGACGAGACAAGAGACAGGACAGAAGAGAGATGAGTGACAGACAAACAGAAAACATGGAGGGAAGAGAGGAGGGAAGGTGTGAGAGTATAAGGAGAGAGAAAGAGCGAGAGTGAAAGCAAGGGTCACAAAGAGAAGGAGAAGAAAGATAAGATGAGAGACACAGGATGTGTGTGACATGTAAGGTGGAGGAGAGCAAGAGGGCTGAGGGATGTCTGGCCCAGCTGATGCCACAGAGAAATAATTATAGCAAAAGGGCAAAGCTCGAGACGGAGAAGCTTCAGGTTAGAGCAGAGAGAGAAGTGCACTACAATGTTTACTGAGGGAGGCTTTGTCAACACATGGTCCAGTAATACCACAGTTTATATTTCATTTTAAAATAGCCGTTCATTCAATATTTTTAAAGGTGCACTTTGTAACTTTACTGGTGGCCGCTTGTCTCCATGGAGGTATTATTGTTTCGCTTGGAATGTCCCACAGTATGGAACTGAACGAATACTAGGTTGAGTGTCCCCCTGGCTTGAAAGTCACAGCTCGAGCATCCCATTCTCCTGCCTCTGGGCGCCCCCTTCTCTCTATACCCAGGAGAGGGGGGACGTTGTCACCGGCCTTTAGTTGGCTGCGTCGTGCTCTGTGATATATTGAGTCAGAAAATTCTATATCATAATAAAATTAAATGTTAATGTAGTGAGACCAAATGTCGGGCCTTGTTTATGCCATTTTATTGATCTTTTTCATTATGTAATATCAGTATAACCCTCATTTGCTCGCAGAAGTTTAATATGAAATCATATTTTAAATATTTCTTGTGCTATAGCATCTGTAACTGTTGATTTGGGAAGAAATATTAATTATTTCTTACCTGCTTGCTATGAACATAATTTGTAAGCAGCACAACACAAGAAACTTAGAAAGCTACAGAATTTGTTAAAAAATCATTCACTTTTAGGAAGGTCTTAACTATATATTTAATGGAAATATGTAAGATAAAAACTGAAACAGTTGTGGCAATCACTCCCACTCACCAGAGGCGATTGAATTATGTCATGTCCAGGTGATGATGATTAAATATGTATATAGTTTAACTAACTTAAAAGTTATAAAGGTTACAACTCAGGGGGACTTTCCAGCTTGGGGACCTTCCAGCCAGGACATTCCAGCTGCCAATTAAACTCATCCATCTCTGACTGTGAGAATGCGTGTTTTTCAAAGTGTAAATGAATTCGTAATAGAGTAAATGAAAGATGGATAAATAATGCCATATTATAATATATTCCAGGCAATGCAATTACAAATCTCCATGGAGACAAGCAGGTAGCAGACCCTCTCCCACTAGAAGAGTTGCTTTGTGCACCTTTAAAAACACCTTTTGTCAGTTTTCTTCTTTGCAAATGATGCCCTGTGTATATTATGAAAAAAAAAAAAAATCTTATTATACATTTGTGTTCTATATTTCTTTTCTTAATTAAACCTTTCAAAATAATCTAATGAAAACAGTTCCTTTTAATATAGCAGCGGTAGACCTCTTGTTTATTTTCCCAAAACAGTAATACCATTGTGTAGATATATTTGGTATATTTGAAACCGTATAAACCTCTAACTACCTGCACATGTTGACAAAGCCTCACAGCGGTGTTGAATTTGGGGAAACCTTTTTAAACCTCATGAAATTCAACAGCCGCATCAGTGACCTACCCAGAGTTGTCTTTGGCTTCCTGCTCCTCGTCCGGATCCCGTTTCAGGTTTTCGGGTCCCAGTCGTCCCATCGAGGAGCCCTCTTCTGCGTCTCCTTTATTCGTATCTGCCTCTTCGTTATTATTGTTTTCTTTTTGATCAGATTTTGAGGATTCACTTTCCACTTTGTTGAGCACATCAGGCTTCTCCTTCCTGGATTTAAAAAACACATTTAGTTCACAGTCACAATGCAAAAATAAGAAATAAATCTGAATAACCTTGAATATTGTTGAGGGTAGATTTAATTGGATACAAGAAAATGACCCTCTAGTCTAGACATCGATTAGTGATAATAGTCCAGCAATCAGACAGAAAAACATCAAATTAAAGTGCTGTTTCAACACTGTGTTTACATTCCAAAACAACCAAGTTCTCTGAATCTGTGACCTCAATCTATAAATTATCTATGAATTATTTTAAATAGACAACATCAAAACAAAGCTCAACATGTTTAAAACTCCCAATATAAACAATACATTTGATGTTTAATAGATGGTGGGAGTGATGGTATTTACAGCTGGTTTTGCATCATCATATCGGCAAAACAAAAATGCTAAAGAAAATCTGCACTTTTTGTAGATATAGGAAGAGGTAAGAGATGTATTGAAAACAGGATTATAATGGATTGCTTGTTGTGTAAACATGACAAATTTGATTATCATCTTAAATTAATACTGTCTTTAAAAAACGTACTATCATTTTAGAAACAAGGGTATAATGTTAATACTCTGCAGTGACATCAAGCTGGGGGTGTTCTACTAGGGGGACCAGATTTGGTTTTTAATGGTTGGTAATAAACTAATTGTTAAATGAGTGCGTAATTAAGGAAAATGGTTATACACTTGGCACTAATGTGAGTCAGTATAGTCACATTTTCTTTGTGTTTTGGTTATTTTTAAGCAGCTTTTCTGTCTTTTCCCTAAACAAATGGCAATTTATGCCTCACTTTACTGTTGGCAGGGATCAGATGTGTCAAAAATAAGAACACCTGGGACAATTCTTGTATAAAACTGGGACAAATAACTGGTTTTGGATAAATCTGTTGGGACAGGGGACACAGGGCTCAAAACTTGGACTGTCCCGGCTAAATAGGGATGTCTGGTCACCATGTTCTTCATATTTCTCTACTGGCAGAATGTTCAGCAGTGACGCAATGCACACATTGGCAAATAAAGACAAAACATTTTTAAGATTCTGAAAACTCAAATAAAAATGCAAACTGGATTGGATTGGATTGATACAACACATTTTCAGGAGCCTGTGATCAATACAGGCATTCATGGCCCTGTTCGGGAGTGATTATCAACAAAAAGGTGACAGTGATTACTTTTATGTGCAACAGACTCATTTAAGAGTACAAATCAGCTCACATTTTATAGTTCCAACCAAGTCAGCTCTTTATGATCATATTGTGTTAAAATACAGCTCCGATCAAGTCTAACTTGTGTAACAGAGCTTCTAACAGTGTAGTGCTTCCCCCAGAGAATGTTGATGATATCAACTGCAAAGTCTCAATATCGTACTGTACTTTTTTCCCTCAATACTTGGACCCCAATCTTGACTGTCTCTCTATATTTTTTTGTCATTGTTCACCCCTGGCTATACAAGACTACGCCTGGAGTGGAAATCAATATTGTACAGGATGCTCTTTATGCACTTTATAATATTGTCCTGTCATACTCTCCCTTTGAGATAATGGCTATGATGTGAAAGAGAAAGACCATAATGTAACAGTACTGGACAGACTACCTTGCAGACCGTGGACTGTGCTGTTCCTTGCTCGTCCTGTGTTTTGTGCTCCTCTGAAGTGGACACGGGGGCTCCCTTCTCCCCCTCGGGCCTCCCCTCTGTCTTTGGCCCCTGTTTCAGCGGGAGGTCCATCCTGAAGCTGATGGCTGTGGAGTTACAGTACTCCTCAAAGCCGTACAAGTACCTGAAGGAAGCAACACAACGTTTTCATTTTAGTCTTTGAACGTGGAATCCTGTAGTGTTCTGAGAGAAAAGTAAGGCTGAAAGAAGAACCCTGAGGTGACCATAAGAGAGGATGAAAATGCACTACAATAGAGCAGAATTTTGAGCAAAAAAAAAAAAATTCACAAATCTAGCTTTGTGGTGGCCCTGTGCAAGACAATTTGGTGGTCTTTATGTTCCCAAATTGAGAGACCCTTTATCCTAAAGATCAATGTAATAATCAATACATTTGATAACGCTTTTGAAAAACTATTTAATTTATAATTTACGTTTTTTAAATGTGATGCCACTTCATAGTGGAGTGGCTGATGGGACACTAGTCAAAAACACTGCCTGCTTATGATAGAATATGTTGATCACTAAAACCAATACGCATGTATTAAAAAAATACAAAATTTGAATATTAGCATGTTTTATACATAATACGACTGCATGGCGATGGGATGTTCTGTTGTTTTCAGAGGATATTGCGCTGTAACTGATATTGTATAATTGCCTTTGTAATTTGTGATAACCATAGCTATTTAATTTGTTAGTTTGATTGGATCGCAATTAATCTTACAACCCCATTCTAACTATCCACACTGTTTACTCTCCATTGTATGAATTGATTTGAAATTAAAGTGGATGAAAGTAGAAAGATCCATCCTGCTTACGTACTTGCGGTAAGCACATTTGACATTGTAGCCAGCCGCAGAGTTGAGTATAGGGATGCCCAGATCTTGATAGACTTGTTTCCAAACGGCGCCGCTTTCAATCTGAGCAAACAGCAGAAGAATAAAGAGTCAATATTGAGCATAATTCAAATCAGAGCCAAGAATCAGGACAGGACTCACATTGTCAAAGCCACCCAGTTTCTGCACCAGTCTGTAGAGCTTAAACAGGTTCAGGTTCCTATAGCCCAGGACGGGGCGCTTGTTAATGGGGGTCCCTAAGGAGAAGAATGAGAAGGTAAAAACGTAAGAAAATCCCATAAGACTAAACATCACATTAACCAACCGTAGCAAAAGAAAATTGAATTCTAAAGAGATTAATCACCATGAGCTGGCAAAATTATTATTGCGCGCTTAGCTTACTCAATATCACAGGTAACATTATATTTCATGAGAAGATAGATTCTTTTACCAGTTAATTCATCATTTAACGTCAGGTATTTTGAATATTAGTAATAATCTTTCTACTATCCCAATAACGATGACATATTTTGGCAATTCATTAGAAATGCATTCAAATGTGTAAGTAAATGTTTTGAATAAATGTAGAACTTGTAATATAGTTGTATTCTCGCATCAAAACAACAATTTTTATGTGATCATGTACACAAAATATTGACCATCTGTATTGCCATTACTTTTTATGTGTGGTTTTATATGTAGGCATCGATCAATTCGCCCCAGGGCAGCTGTAATCACATGAGTAAGGAATGAATAATGAATCTGATGTAAGGTGGCTTTGAGTTTACATGTACTTTCTACACATTTACATTTTGAACTGGATGGCATTTTACCCCATAAAACCATTTTCAAACATGGCCTGGGAGCATGCATAATTGTATGACTGCACAGTGTGATGTGTAGAGCCCGTCTGCCGCTCACCTCGGTCCTCCATGAACTTGTAAAGCTGCTGCAGAAAACTGTCCCTCTCCTCGGGATAGGGCTCCACCTCCTCCTGCTCCCAGCACATACAGACACACACAGAGAAACACAAAGAGACAGACACACACACACACACACACACAGAAACACAAAGAGACACACACAAAAATACACAGAGTTACATGTTGTTTTACGTGTGCCATCTCTACAGTACAGAATAGGACCTAGGATTACACAGTTCATCACAATACTATTATTATTGCAGCTCATGCAATATACTCTCAAATGATGTAAATGAAATAATACAGGTAATGTGATTAATAACAAAAACATATTAAATTGAATACCTAGAGAAGCTTAAAATGAAAATGTGTTGCAACTTAAACAAATAAATAAATAGAATTTTTTGTTCTGTAACATACTCTACATTTAGTCCAAATGTAGAATGGCCTTGGATAAGTTTTGATTTCAACATTTTACTTTTAAATGGCATATTTAAGTACTCCAATCATAGTTATTAAATACATCATTTTTTGTAATATCGTGCAGCCTAAGTCAGTCCTAATGTAAACACAGTCTGTACCTCCTCTTCCTGTGCGTTGGCGTCTTCTTCCTGCTCCTCCTCCTCTTCGTCATCATCCTCCTCGCTGCTCGAGCTCTCCTCTTTCACTTCTGTTTTCCAGCTGCTCGGCACCACCAGCTCCTGCAGGAACTCCAGGGCCGCGTCCAGAGCTGACACACAGACACAGACAGAAGGCTTGTCACGACATTGAAATTTCAAATTTCCATTGTCAAAATGGAAAAATATCAAAACTTGTGACTTGGAGTCTGTTTTAGGTTATAATGAAGCCAGTTACTTCAAGTCAAAGGTCTTATATTATACAAAATTTACTCTTGAGCGTTTTAAAACCATGTTAGAATGCTGTTACCTCATCAAAAACATACCCAGGGTTGTGTTTTCTTTTATTCACACGTTCGAGTAACTCTTTATTATTAGTGTGTCTACATCTCCAAAGCTCAGCATGCCCTGTTCCTGTTTTTTTGCTTTTCATTTTTGCCAAAATAGCTACGAGACACTGCTGAATCCTTCATGTGTCATGCAGTGGCCTTGTTTGAGGGGTAGAGGAAGACAGGACAGGTCAATTTGGTATATAGTTTTTGATATAATTTAAGTATAATAAGGGAGTACAATGAAGTCAGTTCTATTTCTGAGATTAGTACCTGCCATCTGGGTAGTTTTGTTTTTGACAACCTAAACAGACAGTGACATGACCTCTGCCCATCACTGTTACTGCAGACAGGAAACTCCATTCACATAGAGATTATAGTCAGGATTTGAGTCACTTCAAACAGTAAACAAGAGGAGAGCTAATCCCCAGACAAAGACGGAGGCGACGTCGACAGATGTGAACAATTTTAAGGTGTCAATAAAAGGATTACCCTAAGTAGAAACAAGACCAAAAATAAATGTTTATTGTGGTGGATTAACACATTACTTTTAAGAGCTAAACTGACCAGACTGACCACTGCTACTATATCAGAAACATTACCCGTACTTATGTATTGTTTATTTGAATAGGGATAGATACAGCAAACATAGATTAACAAGTGGTCTGATGTGGGTATTTATAGTGTTTATAGCCAAGGCTAATTCGCAGCTCCAGTCCCCAGATGGGCTTTTAAACTATTCAGATTTCACTAAAAAAGCAGTGGGATTATTGGTAGAAAAATCTATAAATACAGTCATTTGTCCAGAGAATCAAATAGTCTTAAAATATCACACACTTAGAAACTCGCACACTCACATTTCACTCTTTCTCAGCCCCCTCTCTCCCCCGTGCCCTCTCATACTCTCTCTCCTTCACGCACACAATTACACTGGTGCTTTGTTTAATTTGTGGACAATTCGCTCTTCGGATCTCAATATTATCGCATTCGCTGCTGGTATAAAACATATGTAATCTATAAAAGCAGGATTCCTCTTTTTAAAGACCACTGCATCCACTATCCAGTTAAGCACATTTTGGCAAAAGGTCCTGTTATTTTGATCAGTTATGTTGACATTTAGGGCTATATTTATGATGACAAAGAATCACAGTGTTTCATTCACATCGTTTCTATTTCATCTGCATGCTAACCACTAGAGGGCTCTGCTGAAAACAATACATGCTCAGAGAATCCTTCATTGCTTTCACCAACGCAATCTAGCAGGCATTCGGAATTCATGGGACCTTTCGTTTTAACATATAAATATTTATTTGAACCAGATTTGGATTCGATTCAAAGCACATACTAAAAGGTTCAATAACGCTCGCCACCTGTCATTTTAGTAATCCAAATTATCTATAGAAATAACAAACCTTGTCCGATTTAAATTATGAAGACACCTAAAAATGAGCAAGCATTTGTTGTTTATTCCCTACAAATTGTCACCTAAACTACCGGTACATATAATGACTGCGTATTATCAAAACTATTTCTGCCACACATGAAAAGACTTGACAAAGCTGACGCAGCGTGAGCTCAAAGCCCCAGAGTCACAGGTGTTTTCAAAGAGACACTTCAGCAGATCCTCATTTTCAGCTTTTGTAACTGCGACGACGGTTCTACTGTGCACGGACCACCTGTGTGCTCCCTGACAGGAAAACACAACGCACTTTCTCAGTGTAATTATGAAAACTGCAACAGGGAAATTGGGTCACAGTTTTTTAAAAAAGCTCGTGAGGACTTCAAATAAAAATAGACTCAGAAATGACAGGAGCTCCAATGCGGCGAGAACAAAACAGAAATTCTCTTTTTACCAAATGCATCCCTCTTTGTGAAGAGCTTCTGTCTGGTGCATCAAGCAACCAGCTCACAGAATAGGTACACTTTGTGCTATAGCTCTGTGAAATACTGCAGTTTTTATGTATTCTTAAACTCACCTGGCTTGAGCGTGGCATCAGCCTTTGGAGGAGAATCTGGGTTGATCTCTTTCACATCTTTTCTTAACACCATGTGACTGAAAAACAAGAGCAAATGAATTTCCATCAATGATTTTAACATTTATTGAAATATTAAGGTTCTTTTTAAGAGAGAAAAAACATTAAAAGGAAGAAATCTCCAAAAGGAAGGAATCTCAAATTAACTACAGGTTGTCTATCTGATTTTTTCCCATAAACATTGGTACTGCATTAGACAGCGAACTAGAATATAAAATAAAGATTTCAGTTTTGTTTGGTCATGGTGTAGTTGTGAATTCTTCTCACAAAAATTGCAACACTAAAATGTGATATACTGACACTCCCATTTGAAACCATTATAAAATATTCAACAAGGGACATGGTGGGGGAAAAATTTATTCAGTCCTTCTCGCAGCGGTCATTACATTATAGCTGTCTGGTGTATGTTAAATATCACAAACATTTCCCAAACTCAAAATATGATATCAACTCTGTCACAGTGTAATCTGAGGAGCAAGAACAACAACTTCCTGAAAACCGCAGTCTCCCTTTCTGGATCTGACCTTACTTTGAGTTTGCCCATGTTTTTCTAAGCCATTGTTTTCAAAAATGGCACAGAGAAGAATGAATGGTTACCGCCAACAATGCAAAGTGAACACAGTGACCTCCAGTTCTGCACCAGGAGCAGAGGAGAGAAACTGCCTAGAAACAATAAACTAGGAGGGTCTGAAACTAAAGATAAAAAAAAGTACTTTACATGTTTATAATTAGAGATGTGTCATTGAAAGTAGAGATAGATTTGCAATATATATTTTAGCATAAAGATCATGAAACAAAGTGCTCCTCTAATGATATTTCCCAACATCTTAATGTAGTCAAACTAGTTACTTACAGTTTAACATAGAAAATTGAAGTGCATATGAGAAGTGCACATCTTTTTATAACTATTAGTTTAATAAATTTGGTGGGATAGTAACTGCGGTGAAAATTTTAGTTTTACATCAGTCAAGAGGCAGTTTGTGAAGAAAGACTTAGAAAAAGGTTGAACCATACAGGAAGTAGCAAGGTTTTCAGGAGTAGGCCATTTCCTCAATTTATGTCCATTAATACACAAAACTATATCCTAAACATGAGACCAATTTAAGCACATAGAACATGTTTGTGGCAGAAAATGTATTTAAGACAAAAACAGGTATCATACATATTGTTTTGTCAATTTAAAATTAATCGAGACAGGCTTACATGTTTTTCTTTTCTTTTTTTTTTACAGTATGGTTTCTTGAGCAACAGTTAGGGAAATAGTTTTACTGCCAATGTCCAACCAGGAAACCAAATTATAAACCAAAATTGGGACCAAAATATGAATTATGTTAACTGTGTTTTGTGAAGTCAGTCTAAACTGTTACACTTCAAATATTAACTACTAGAAACACTGATTTGCCACTTCTCACAATGAAAGAAAAAATCTTATTAGTGCTAGACCAGGATTTATAATAGTATTAGTATTATATAATAGTATAAACATTTAAAGGAGTAATTACTTCTGATATTACGACAGGAAACCTCAGCATCTCACATCAACCCCAAGGCTAAATAATTAGTTTGTCTAATAACTACATTTTGTTATAGGGCATTTTAACACATTCCTTCTACTAAAAAGACATCCAAATAAATAAACATTATCTCCCAAATCTGGTCCTTTTTGGGTAAATTTAGATCAAAAAGTCAAGCAATACTTTTGGCTAAATTCTTCCATCAGAAAGCAACACCAACACATAAACCTTATTTTAGCAAAAACAAGCTGTGATCCAAAACATAAGGAATGCAAATGTTGTTTCACACCTCCAATGGACCCAATATGGTTCCAAGTTTACAGCATATGGAAAAAACAAAGGAAGGTGGTCCAATTTGCGCTTGCACATAAAAGCAAACATTTCACAAGCTCCCACAAGCCTTTGATTTATCACCACTGTTTGTATTCCCAACACGCGTAAAAGAAAACGCTTTCTTTATAGTATTCATATTGGAAATTTTTGTTCCCCGCCTCCAGCATATCTCACATCTCCAAAAACATGCATCATAACTTGTACAGGTGTTTTTGAAGGTGAAAAAAAAATCTTGAAGTCAAACAGAAAACCAGGCCTAATGCAATAAGGTGGGCTTACAGTGAAATGTAAAATTCATGGGTTTCAGCATGACGAAAAGTTAGAACTGTTGCCATGATAATTAATTCAAAATAAAATATATACTGAATGGTCAACTATCCACAAAATAACCCCATATAACACAAAGCTAAAATCCATTAACAGATGTACCTAATTTTACAGTAAACTTTTGTGATACTTGAACCATGACCAAGACATTTGCACACGTTTAACACATTTTGGAATGCAGTAAAAAAAAAATAAAATAAAAAAAAAATCTGATTATAATTATCATGCAGAGTGGTAAAATATTCAGATAATATATTCATTTTTGTCAATATCAACCCAACCAATCAAGTCAGAGGGTCTAATGTGGGCTGTAAAAGGGTGCTGAAATTCTAGAAATTCAATAAAAAATAAAAAAAAACAGAAGATGGAAGTGAGGCCAATTCAGTACATTTTCTTTAGGTTTGTAGATTTGGCCTTCGACCAGTTAATGCACATTCAGTTTAGCCGAGGAAAAAACTTTGGGCACCTGCTCTATACTATAAAATAAAACTAAATGTAAAGTGCATTTTATGTGTCTGTTTATATCACATTTAACTTACTTTATCATTCAGAAAGTTCGAGTTCATAAAGCTGTAACAGATAATACTACCTACTACTGTATAACAACTCACCCTTATGTAACAGATAAGGTCCTGCCAATCATTTTATCATCATTTTCCTACGACCTCTTGTATAGCTGAGATTTTCTATTTTATATTACTTATTTTCTATTTTATTTTGACTTGTACATATACATTTATATAATTATGCTTTATTTAACACATGTCTCTTGCTATCTTTTTTGCTACTTATTATTATTACCATTTATATTCTTTACTCTTTGTTATTATATTATATTGTGATGTGTGAGTTACTGTGTCCAGATAATTTCCCTTGTGGATCAATAAAGTTGGTCTAAGTCTAAGTCTAAGTCTAAGTCTAAAGCTGGTCACAAACTAGAGAATGATTATCTACTAATATTAGAGAGTGTGAATGAGTGAATTAAGGATTTTACAGCTGTTTGGTCACAGCGTCGATAATCCTGAATAATTTTTAAATGGTGATGTTTCTTCTCACAATAATCACAAAACTAATCTTTGATATACTGAGCTTCTGACATCCCCATAGTACAACTATGAGTACTTTGGATATAAAAATCTTCCTGAATTCAAACAGACAGCTGGTGTAATCTTTGCACCAGAGGAGGTACAGTGAACTAAAATCTAGTGTGAATCCCCCTGTATAAAGATTCATAGACATGTCTCTATACAGTAAACCACCAGCAGCCACAGCAGAGCGCTCCTGACAGCTCCTATTCCTGCTCCAACCCCAGACAAAACAATCGGCTGCTCTGCTCTCATGCCGGGAGCAGGCTCAGGGGAACTACAGCGCTGATATTTCACAGCCCAAAGAGAAACACAACCAGGGAGAAACTGTAATGTGGTGAAATTGAGCCAGGATGGCCTTAAGTTTAAGTTAAGTATACAATTCAATTGAATAGTTAGAATCTCTGCTAATGTCAAAGAATAGATTCAGTTGGCCTGGTATTTACACCTGATATATTACAGTGTATCTAGCAACAACCAAAATAACTACTGGTAATTTATTTTAGAAAATGGTTACAACTGTACATATTGTTTAAGGCAGGGTACCAGGCCGTGAAAGCCCCGCTCCCTACACCGCGTGGACTGCCCCCCCTCCCGTACGCCATGTGGACCGTTCCCCCGTCCCGTACGCCGCATGGGCTGTACCACTAAACCAGAACTAAACCAGGTCTAAATCAGGACTAAACCAGGTCTAAACCAGGACTAAACCGGGTCTAAAAACAGGTCTAAAAACAGGTCTAAAAACAGGACCAAAAAACAGGACTAAAACAGGATTTAGCCAGGACTTAACCATGCCACGTGGTCCCCCAACCCCTTCAGTCCACGAAATATTGTCTGATATAAAACCGGTCCATGGCGCAAAAAAGGTTGGGGTCCACTGGTTTAAGGTGAGTTCCATAGAGTAAAAAAAAAACATACTGTGGAATATTGTCTTTGGTAAAGCATTAAAACATGCCTACTTTCATGGTGACAAATAGATGGTATCGGCAGGTCATGGTACGGATCAGATCTATGGAGAGCTCACCATGCTGTTTTTCAGGTAACTAATGTACCTGAATCAATGGGAGATAAATAAGCTAAAACTTTGTTAATGGATCTCCATGATTTTTTGGGAACAACATTAAGTTTTAAACCTCAGAAAACCCGAATAAGCACTGACAAGGCCTAGTTTCAATTAGAGTAGAGAATGAAATCTGAAGTAGGTTGAACCTGAATGAACCAAGGCCAGAAACACACTCAACATTGATAAACAGAATTCATTGTACGGTAAAAAAATGTCTGATTCTGCAGAAATAATGAACCACTCACAATTTTCCGTCCTTGAATGATCGGACGAAGACGTTGTCCTTCTTCAGGGTGACGTCATCGTGGCAGTCCGGGGAGATCACCTAGGCAACACAAAGAGGTCGGAGGTTACCAGGTGCTTTGAGCGAGTGGTGCTGGCACTTACAGTCAGTGAATGAATCTGATTGCAACCAGTGACCATTTGGAAAGATTACACCATTTACCGAGGCAAACAGCAAAAGAAGGACATAAGGTACTAATAACATGGTTAAATAAAATGGTCCTACATTGCAGATGTTGTTACCTCCTCAAAAACATGCCTGGAGTTGTGTTTTGTTTCATTTACACATGCTTCAGTAATCCTGGTTTATTCTTCACGTCAACATCTCCAAAGCTCAAAATTCTTTTCCACCTTGTCATGTCATGAAGAAGTAGGTTTCAAGTTAACAGCTACCTTTTACGTTTAGTTCAGCAGAGAGTAAAAATTCGAGGGCGGAAATCATCCAAATAATTCTAGTGAAGTGTATGGTGTTTAATAATACAGTGGAGCACTTCAGTTTTTGTATTACCACACATCAGAAGGTGGAACAGACTGAACTCAGCCTAAATGTAGGAGCTATTTGCTTATTCAGCTAATTCTAAAATTAGTTAATTATTTTTGTTTATGTCAGTTTACCAATTTAGTTTTGTTAGTTTATATAATACATTTTTGCTATGTTAATATTATGTTTGCTAATTTGTTAGGTTTAATTATATTTACTTATTTACCATAGCACTTTTTTTGTTTTTGGTTTAATCCATGGGGCGCCAAGGGGATAAAAGAGGGTGGTACAGCAGGACCAAAGTGCACCTGGGTGGGCCTATGGTTTTCTTCAGCTAGCAGGAGAGGCAGCAAGTAGGCCTGAACATGTATGCTTGTTGTTTACCTGTTAAAACCTCGAATAAATCTTGGTAAATGCATCTCTGGATCTGGACATTGAGTTTGTTTTACTTTACTGCATAAACCACATACCCATGGTGCCCAAAGGTGATTATTTGAGTTATGTTTGGTTTTAAGTTTGCTCACTGCTTTTGTTTGTTAGTTTTCATTGACAAATAGTCACAACACTAAATATACAGGGTTTGTGTGTCAAACATGTGTGAATGAAACAAAACAGAACTCCGGGTATGTTTTTGATGAGGAAACATTATTTAACATTATCATAAAAAAGCGTAATATGGGTCCTTTTTCGTTGACATTGTGTACCGGTAGAGCAATGGCACTGATGAACATGAGAATGAGTCACCTTATATATATAGAAAAATGTGGGAAAAGTCAAATTTATGCATTATAAAGTGATGAATGGTGAATCAGAACTGAAATCTGGGCGAGTTCTTATCCGTCACTGACTAAAGATGTTTTCATTCAAACAAAGGCCAATTTGATGAATGGCACATTTCTGTTTGTGAAACCGAGACGCACACATTGAGAGAGATGAGGAGACGGGTGTATAGCTGCTGCCATGTTCAGCCCACTCACAGCATGGGCCACTGCTGCTCACTGGAATAAAGACTACAACAGAGGAACAGGAGTAATGGCAGAGTTTAGCAGACAGGAGGCAGCAGCGAGCCCTATTCCCAATCCGACACCTGCCTCCTTGTCTCTACATGCATGATCCTGTTTTGCACATGTATGCCGCTTTTCATAGGCACATCATAGGCTTTGTTGTCAATGTGTACATTTAGGTAGCTTAGTTTGATTAATCCATCTCATTTATTGTTATTTAAATGTAATTGTTTGAGAGAGATCTTTTTGGCAAATGTTAAATAACTTTTAGCAAGTATTTTTTGGCAGTTTCCCAGTGTACCTAAAATAGTGTACCTCAATAACTCCACCACTGACAACTAATTACATTTTTTTTTAATTTAAGACCATTGCTGCTATGGTCTACTTACTATAATTTGAAGCTAAAATTAAATGAGGCACAGTAAGATAATAGAACGTCGTGAATATACATTTACAGAATATTAATGTTGTGCAGAAATACCCCAATATTGAAGTTAGTATTGAAACTATACGCACATTTAAGCAAGTATTAGTATATAATAGTATTGATACTGGAGACTTGATGAATTTTAGTTTTGGGGCAAATTTTGATACTAGGTCATAACAAATGGTTTGGGCAACATGCCAAAAAAAAAAAAAAAAAAATCATATAGCAATTTCCTACAGCGAATTTTATCATAATTTTTGCAGGCATGCTTGTATACGTTTTTAAGAAGTAACTAAAGTCATCTACCCTTTGAGAATCCATACTTCACTATGATTGGTTAAATCCACCTGTCACTCACTCAGGAATAAGCTGCATCTTTGAGCAGACAGCTGCAGAAAACAGACAAAGACTGAATCAACATATGACCAAAAATTCATTTGGTCACAAGGATCAGATCACAATTTGATTCTGGCCCTGCCCTGTTAAAAAAAAAAAAAAAAAGCTCCTATCACTTTGTGTTTAACCTCACTTCGGAAATATCTAAAAACATTTCCCCGGATGACATCATTAAATCATTCCTGCATTTGCTGCTTAGCCCAGAGACCAGCGTGATCACATTTCACTCTCTCCAATCTGCGTAGCTCTTATTTTAGTCTAGAACTTATTTGCATAGATTTTGGCAACAAAACAAACTGACAAGTGTTTTTTGCCAGCCCAGCCTGTATCCCTCTGCACACTGCTCCACCCTGTGCCTCATCCTCACTTACATTGTAAACACTGACAGACCGCTGTATTGTGCACTTCCCCTGACCTGTCACAGGGAGGCAGCAGCGAGCTCGATCGGACAGCCAAGAATAACACAGTGAAGGAGGCGGGGTCACACAAGCTACACTGTTAAAGAGACAGTTCCTCTGCACTGGATCCAACTTGTGCATGTTAGACTTACATAAACAAACAACGCCTGTCACTGCCTCTTGTGCTGCTAACAGAGGCTGACAGCTGAGGGCGGAGACAAGACACTCGCAAAGCTCTACGTCTGTGCAGATAGATTATTGCACTTGTTAGGAAAAAAATACTTTCATTTTTGAGTTTTCTGCAAGCAAAAAGTGGGTTGACACAAATGTATTTTAACTATGCAGCTACAGCACAACTATAGAACTGCAAAAAAGAACTGGAAGAACTATAAAGAAAGGTATTATAATGTGCAAGCCTAGACCTCTGCTAAGGCACTAGTCCTATCTTGCAATGGAAACAAGACAGTGTCCAAAGCTTGAACTCAAATATAGTCTAAAAGTCTAAATAAAACTTTCTCTTGAGGCAATAAAACCTATAACAAAACTGTACTGAAACAATTTGACATTTTCGACATTTAATTTTTACAACAAAAGCTACTAATGTTCTCTTGGTCAAAATATTTTTCACACCTCACCAAGCCTTTGCACTATTATACAATGTGAAAGAATCTAGTGATGGATGGAGCCAACGTTTTTGTTATTTTATTGAGTTGCTGTGGCCAAAGTAATGTTATTTGGATTGGCAGTCTGATTCATACAATGCAAACATGCACAACACAATCCTATAATATGAGAGTTCAACCATCTCTATATTCATCCTACTATCACCCATTTACTTTACAGCAGCAGTGGGCAATAGTGACAAAAATTAACAATTTTTAACATTACAATTAAAGATACAAAATAAAATTTAAATAATGTGCCTTATATGTAAAATGTGTAAACTTTGTAAATTTCTTTGTTGTGTCTGAAATATTGTAAAAAAACAAAACAAAACAAAAAACAAAGAAAAAACATGAATGGACCATAAAATTGCTTCTTGGGGACAAATAAAGTCATCTTGATCGGACTTGATTTAAAATGAACCACAACGGGGCAGAAATAACACATTGAAAGTGTAGAATCCCTCAGTCGTCCAGGTAGAATCCATGGCAAAGGAGAAATTCAATTTGTCAACTGGACAAATGTTTATTTTTCATAGTCCATTCATGTTTTTGTCAAATAAATGTTTGTCCAGGTGACAAATTGAATTTCTCCTTTGCCTATCACCTTAGATCTGTGTTTGGGGATGACACACCACATTTTAGTCTCTTTACATATATTATATACGGAACACTTGATGCATATCTCCAAAATGACACTTGAGATATTATCCATTTTCCTCCACTTGGAAGTAGGAGCATGCCATTACACTAGTACTGTGGTTACATAAGCACTACTTCAGATGCGATGGCACAAGGCACGGACTGTAACAGCAGCAGCAGTGGCCCATGTTTGAATGTGATAATGTAACTGTGCTGAAGAGAAGTGAGCTCACCAGCGCTGGGTACCACGTGGTCTTCCTCTTGTCTCCCGTGACGACGCCCTCCACACACACCACTTTTCCAAACAGATCCTCATTCGGTCTCTGGTCGCTGTCCTCCTCTTCACTGGAGGATGAAGACAGCTCCTCTTCTTGGCTGTAAATCAGATTATTTGGATTATAATAGTGCATTGATAATTTCACCTCAAAACTAAAATGACACAGTTCTTTTGTTTTATGTATTTTAACTTTGTTTAATGGGAAGGACCCTCTTCAAAAATTAGGTGATGCATTTTAAGCAGCTATCCAAAATAAATTAATGGTAAATATTCATGGCAGACCAGAGTTATACAATACAATACAATACAGAAAAGTCCACGCAATATACAGGACCACATTTTTCTTACAGTTTAAACATGAACTTAACAAAATAAGGAGCAAGATATTTTTTATTGGCAAATAATAACTCTTGTGTAAGTACGCACGCTATGGCCTTCTTAAAAGTGTGGTTGCTTAGTAGCAGTTATGGAAACACTTCTATGTACTATATGTAACATCACCAAAACTGTCAAACTAAAGAGAACTACATATATATATTTTTTTTTACAAAATATAGCCATGTTAACATGAAATTATCAGTCATACTCACTTTAACCAGTTGTATTTAGAACTACATCTGATCAGTCAAAACTAGGTTTAAAGGACTGAATCATGTCAAAATCAGGAAAACAAATCATTTTAAATCAATTTTGCTTTATTTGAAAAAAAGCTTCTGAGTACCAGTAAAAACTTTACTTATGGATATCTTATTATTAAATATCTGCACATTTGACCACCAGGGGGCCAGTACAGGGGATATGAATGTCAAACAGAGCTGAGTTTGAATGTAGAGGCTTCATGTGTAATTACAGAGCACATTGTTGGACACAGCACCGTTCCAGCTGAACAATGTGGGACAATTATGAAGTTCAAGTGGACAGATAAAAACACAAATTTGTCATAGTGACTTAACACTGACTATCAAACTAGTATTTTTATTCATTCATCTGCATGGCCATTGTGTCCATTATAGCAAAAGATTTTCTGTTTCTAAATGTCAACAAAGTGACCCAAACCTCTGCATTGTCTTCTCGATTAAAAGTCGTCGTTACATAAATAAATAGGCTTACACACATTTTAATATTCAATATTCTTTTAGTATTAAAATCAAGCAGTTACCAATTACTTGGTACATTGTATAAAGGTGCTTATTATGCTGTGTACTAATAATAAATAAAAACAGCTTCCATGATTACACATAATACGATTCTGAAAGCTCATAATGAAACCCTGTATCACATGTCTCCTGTGTCTTGGCTGAACTATTACCCAAAGACATATCCCACTGACCTACATCTGAGCCTCTCACACTGCAGCTGATCACAGACTGCACCAGAGGCTCGCCCTGCTCCTCAGCTCCTCATTAGGACCAGAGCATCGATCATGAGCGGCTCCTTTCTGCAGCCTGACTGACATACGCAACATACTACTCACACACACACACTCACACACACACACATACAAGTCTTATACTTATCCTATAGAGCAAAAATCGAACAACATTGTATCAACAGGCTGAGTTTTGGGTTAAATTTGTCAATTTTATATTCAGTCTTTATTATTCAAATGTTGTGTCGTACTTAGTTTAACTGCTGTACCTTTTTATTTATTGATTATATCATTAGAATAGTTTTATTGCTTTAAATGAGGACTAGTAGAATTAAATAGAGCTTATTTTGTATTTGCATGGCTTTTTATGTTTATTGTGCAGCACTTGGTTCATAAAATATGCTATAAAAATAACAAGTGGATTGGATGTTTTTGTACTCAGTTTATCTTGCAAATATATTTCAAGTAGTAAAATACAGGAAATTATAGAAATCTAAATTATTAGCCAATCCTAATTGTAGTCCTTTTCCACAATACAAATGGAAGGAGTTAGTTGGGGAAAAGAGCTCCACTAAAAACATAATGGCTCAATTATGATGTAACAATCTCTCATTGGCAGCTACAGGGTCACAGCACTTTTCCATGTAATGTTAGTTATATCACATGCCCACATTTTTGTGACACAGGGGCTTTACAGTTTTATGGTGTTAGAATGACTCCTCTTGGTCATGTCCTCAATATGTTCAGCCTATTCCTTGACATTTTGATGCACTATTTTCAAGTAGTGATGGGCAATAAAAAGGAGTTATGTTTCAGATGCCTGTCACACTGGGTCTAGTATCGTGATATTGATCCGATATCAGTGGATTTTTTAAAATCCTTTTTTATGCTTCTCACATATCTGAACAGCAAGTGAAAATTTTCGATAGTTTTTTAGATTTCGATTTAATTTTCACGCATTTGTCTCTGTAGAGATATTATAGTTTCAAGTTGTACAATTAAATTAAAATATAATGTATCAAAACACTGTATACTGACACATTTTAAGTATGAAAAAGTCTATGGAATTGATATCTTTCGATACCTCATTATCGAAATATTTTTGGTACCAACCCTTTTCCGGGGCTGTGACATTTTGCCCTTTGTATTTCCTGCATGTTTTTGTGGTGGTGCAGAACTGTGAGCACATGTCCACAGTTCCACAGAGTGAGCAGAGTACATCAGACAGGCTTCTGCTGCTGCGACCAGCACCACAACAAATAAGCCATGAATCAAAGTCATAAACAAACACTGAAACTGCTCAATGGAAAAACAACACGATACAACAGAGTCACACAGACGGGAACCACTGCAATCTGTCACACATTTAGCTCTGTGTCTTATTTAAGAATAATACACTTCTTTGTCTTTTTTCCTTGTTGCACACTGATTTGACAGTCTTTTTGTTTTTTTGTTTTTAAGTCCGATGCATTACATTTCCAACGAAGTGAAGTGTCTTGCCCAAGGACACAAATATATCTATCTCAAGTGAGTATTAAACCAAATACCAGTGGCAAATTGTTATGTTTTTGTTGTTGTTTTTTTTACCTTCATTCACATATAACAAGATATAACTTAGCTAATGTAGGTTAACAACGCAGATAGTTTTGCCCATAGTACACTCAAAGTAGGAAAGTGAAAAATCAGAGGCCACATGGTTCCATTTTTACTTAGACATCTGCAGTTTGACCCAGCACCTCTCTATTAATACTGTAGTAACCCAGAGAAGGTTTCCTGGCACTTAAGTGAAACAAAATTCACAGACAATTTTATAGGTGATTCAAAAGGCCTCCTGCTTCCCATAAAGTGTTTCTACGCATATTATTCACTGTAAATTCATTCATTGTTCATTCTCATAATCAACAAGTAGCACCTTAACACCTCTGTCTTTTTTTCCTCTTGAAAATTCAAAATTTACAAGCAGCTGTTTAACTGTGAAATCTGACATTAATGCATTGGTATTGCAAACTTCCTATTTCCTCTTTAAGACAGCAGCGCTTCTCAACATGTTCAAGGCTACAGCCGAGTCTGAGTCAATATTGTATCAATGTGTGGAGTAATATTGACTTTTGTGTAAGTGCCATTAGCCAGGTGTTCCCCCATAAGATTACGTAAGGAGCAGAATGTCGTTTTTCATTGCAGGGGCACGCTAAACCCTCCATACCCCTTCCCCCAAGTGGAGAGGGTCCCAAGAGGAGTCCATCACAGCATAAAACGCCTACATTTTAGAGGAGAACCAGAACTATGCCAGTGGGACAGTCCAATATAAATAGTGCGTTGTAATTGTGATATTATAGACTATAAAAACACATCTGATAATAGAAATAGATTGAATTTCAAAAACAATCTTTCAAAATTCCTGTACAAATAGAGTCTTAAATTAGATTGCATTGTTATGAAATGATAAAGACAAAATTGGCCACTTCAGTTATAAATTCAAGCCATGTTTAGTGTTGATTTTGACCGGCTTAAATTTTGGATCAGTCCATGTTAAGTCCTGTTTGAATATTTGGTTTATCACTAGTTTATTATTAAATTAGGTCAATGATGGTGAAGTACTGGTTGAGTCTAAGTTTGACAGTTTTTAGTGCCTTTCCTTGTTTAGTTTATTCCTACTTAAGTTAAAGCAACACTGATGGTGCGTGACTCCAAGTAAACAGAAAGTTCAAACTACACTTTGCAACTTTCTCCACAGAGATATATAGATTTTATGCCCTATGTGAAATATTTAATCTAACAGTCAAGTTTGCGGAGATGCAAGCCCATACAATAAGGATGCTTGTTTTCTAAAGGTTTGTGTGCAATAAAAACATCCATAATGCAAATATATCTTTTTCTTTCAGTCTTTGTTTTAGCTAAAATGTTACAAGTTGGATCTTTAAATTAGAACCTACAGAATAGTTGCGAACTGGTTTCTTTCTCAAAATCCTCAAAAATTGTTACTCTCTTTAGCACTAGTTCAGTTTTTGCAAAATGCCATTTTTCTGTAGTGTAATGCAGTTGTATCAGAGGCGGACTGTCTGCAGCCCACAGAGGCTCAGAGCGATTAGGAACCGGAGGAGGAGACCAGGCTCTCCTCTGCGCCTCGGGGCCGCTTTATGAAGAGGACGCGGAGAGTACATCTTTCATTTGGACGGCTTTCTGGGGGTGTCCTGCTCATCAGTTTGGGCTAGAACACAAAATCCTCTCCATAAACGAATTACTGGCTTTCCGTTCATTTCAATACAAGCTAGAGCCAACTGCAGAATCTACCACACAAAGCTTAAGCGTTCCACAGTCGGGAAACGCCAAGAGGGAAAGCTGGGAGTCTGTAGTTCAGGGGTAAATGCTACAAAACTATACATAAATGATAATATATTGTAAATCTATTCAACAGCGCATTGGAAATGAAGCTACTCACTCAAAACTAAAACTATTCCATTAAACTTTAAGCGTATTCCAGCAACTTCAGTATTTGGGTTCAATTATTCACAGCTTTTCAACTATGAAAAAGGCCCGTACTGAATTTCTTCGTATGTATTTGAGCAAAACAGTAGAACAGCTTTATTTTGTGATAATCTGGATGTGCACGGTTAGAATGTTAGTTGTTTTTAGCTTTAAAGTGACTGCAAAAACTGCTCTTGTCTCAAAAGTTGTGAGAAACAATTATAAAGTCATCGTGGTGAATAATTATGATTTTAGGAATGCATAAGGTAAGTTAGGAAAAACATGTAAAATAAATGAACCAGTTCTGCTTTTCACATCTTTAAGATAGTAAAAATCAAACACAATCCCTTTAAGATATTAAAGTACAATAGTATATCTTGAATGGATAAAACAAAAAAAACAAAAAACCTTCAAATAAGGAAGGAATCATTTGCCTAAAACCCACAAATAGAACAATAGTTAGCTGCATGCGGAGACATTGACAGACACCCACTTATTTTTACACGGTACTATTTGCAACTTTGGTTCCCTCTTTTGGTTGTACATGCACAAACAGCACAAAGCACTTGCTAACCACACTGTGTGCAACCCAATTGTATTATCCATCCAGAGTAATTGTATGTCAAATCCACTTTACAGAACGGTGGGAGGATTAAGCACTCTTTATATTCAATTCAAGCGTAAATTTAGTACTATTTAGATGCAGTTCAATCTATCAATCTTTACAATCGATTTAAGGATTAGACCTTGGGAAGTGAAAGTTAGCCCACAGCACTGTTCACAATCAGATATAGGATGTTCTTCTTTGTATCAAGCAACAGACCAAATATGGAGTAGTAAACAAACACAGGGGGAGGCACCGAGCAGCAAACAACAGTAACCACCTAAATGTAGATCCACTTAAGACTTTAATCTCAAATATAAAGTGAAATTAGACTTTAGGAAGACTTTAGGAAGTATTGACTCCAACTGCAACAGACACATTTTACGCCAAGTATCACTACCTAAATAAGAAAACACATTAACACTCAGATGGTGGCACAAGCAATCCTTATTTGAATCACTTTATTTTTTACAATTTTGTTAAAAGTTAAATATCATCTACTGCATCCATTTCAACCATAAGAAGTCCCTATGTTTATTATATTACAATGTGTACTTTTGGGTATTTCACATTTGCACACACATCACATCAAAATTGGGAGTAAACCAGGTATAAACACGGAACAAGACCTGGATTAGACCAGATCTAAACTGGAACAAGAGCAGGACCAAACCAAGCCTACAGCAGGACTAAATTGGGCTCATACCAGAAACAAATCAGGGCAAGTATGAGCGCACACTTTGTTACTTGTAATACTATATGGGAGAGGGGAGGGGGGGTCACCAAAGCTTTGATTAATGGGAAACACTGAAACTAAGAGCAATCTGAACAATCCAGGTCTAAACCACATCTCAATTCAAAGAAACTGGGTCTAAACTAAGTCTAAACGAGAAGTCTAAACAAGATTGAATGCAGCTCTTAATCAGGACTGGCTCAGCTTGGGTCAATAATACTCACATGGGGTTGGATCGGCGTCCGCGGTTGCCCTTCTTGCCGATGACAGGTGTGCCGAAGTGCTCTGGGTTTGTGAGAGGCAGTCTATCGAGCGTCTGCGGAGAGGACAGACCAAACAGAGGCTCAGGACCACTTTGTCAAACGCCAAATTAGACGACAAAAGACTTTCCCCAGACTAAATCTACTCCCCAGAATCTCCATCAATAACAGCCCTCTTTCCGACCTACGCAAACATGAGGTATACACAATCGCATTTGACAGTTTTGGTTAGGGAGAATAGGTTCTGATGTGGATGAATTCAGAATGCAAACTGGGATGGTCCTATGTGGATTTTTCTGACAGATACCGATACCCAATATTAGTGCTGCTGCTGGGCCAATAACCGATATTTTCTGTTAGTAAATATATTAGTTTTTAATCTTTCTACAGCAAGCTACAAACTGTTATGAAGTTCACAAATTACCATTTCTCTTTTGTGGCAGTGGGTATAGAGAGACAGTGGTAGTTTAGAAACAAAATATGTATAGTGTATCGTATCGAATCATGATGCCCAACCCTAGTGTTAATATTAGACCAATACCTGGAACCCCCGTTGATATCCCTGAAAGCACTAATAATTCAACCATGCCTAATTGATAGTGACAATAAAATGGTGATTCAGAAATGGGAGGAAGTGTGAATGACTGAATATTGCTCTTGACAGTGTAAATAAAGAGTATTAAATAAAAGTAGACATCGGGAAGTACTTGCCTCGCTCTCTGCAAAGTGGCGTGCTCCTTTTAGGCACAGAGAGGAGCGGCGCAGGGTTTTCTCATCGCCATCGTCAAACACTGAGGATAACACAGGAAAGCGCATGATTAGAGTCAAGTATGAAACATGGGCCGGGTTGAAACACGGTTTACACTGCCATTTAAAGCAATGGCACATCCCCCAAGAGTGATTTTCTCTCTCTTATTTGTTATACTGGAAAGAAGGTCATGCACACAATGTCTTATTTGACTATTCAAAGCAGTAATTGTTTTTTTAAATAAAAAATAGGAGGCTGGGTTATCTGTGTAGCATAGTATACCCAAAGATGACTGACAATACTGCTATGATGAAACTGTGGTATCAGTAATTCTCTGTTTAGTTGTGATAATGGGATGACCACTACACAAATTTAAAGGTGCATTGTGTAACTTTTCTGGTGAAGAGTCTGTCATCTCCTTGTTTCTATGGATATGTCATTGCTCTGTCTGGAATGTTCCACAGTATGACATTAAAAAGCTCTACCTTACATTTATTAAATTACTGGTAGTTTTATACCTCAAAAACACCTATAAAAATCGTGATTCTGATTGTGAGTAGGGACCTGTAATTTGGTCTGGTTTGGTCTCCATGAAGATAGAAAGGTTTAATGCCATACTGTGAAACATTCCACACAAAGCAATAACATCTCCATGGAGAAAAGCATTTGGCAGACCCTCTACCAGAAAAGTTATGCAATGCCTTTAAGGGAAAAGTGATATTAAATGTGCTACACAGCTGTATCTAAATGGTGTATTTGGCTGTAACTGTTGATTGACACCAACTCTGTCATGTTTTATTTAAAAATGATGACACTGTGTCCAACACTTTCTATAAGTAGTTTTTTCAGTCCTAGTATCATCATATCATATCAACACCTACAAATATGGTCTGAAGTGTGACCACAAGTGGGAAACCAAATTACGAGCTGTGGTTTTGGCCACAAAAAAAAAACGTATCAACCTGAGAGGCAAGCCAAGATGCCTTCCTACAGACTCGCAACATTTTAAGCACTTAAAACACTTGAATGCATTTTAACACAACAGCACAAGTCTCCTACACAAAATCACACAAAGTATGACAACATACCATTTAAGACATTTATGCTTTCTTTCTTTTTTCATTGGGTAAAATTGGGCCTCAAAAGGAAGATTTGAAACATAAAAGTTATAAAATAGCACCACAAGATTACTGCTGATACAATATGGGTATTGTACAACAGTTAATTTGTGGGAGCTGGACTCGCACTGCCACCCTGGGGGTCAGTGGATCAGACCGCTCTACCAATGATGTCAAGAGTGCAATTTGAAGCGCCAAACTTAGGATCAGAGAACGAGCACAAGCATCAACTGTGCCGCTCCCACTGTAATTGTTCGATTACTATTCAGTTCAATGCTGTAAATGCAGTCTTCTTCTCTACCCACTACTCCTTGTTAGTCAGCCTCTGTAATGCTCTGAATGAGTGACAGATGGATTACTGAATTACAATCACTTTTGTAATATCGCCCGCCACAATGCACTGAAGCTATTTCTGTTTTAACTTTTGAGCCAAATCTTTTTATACTTGTACACAGTGCTCTCAGTAGGACCAAACTCCAAACAAAACATTAAAAAGCTCATGTACCTGACACACGCAGTGAGTGCAAGGCAGATTCAATGGTGTGTTATTGACTTACCCACGGTGTATATACTGGCATCGGTCAGCTTATTGATCGTGGCCTCCTGGTAAACTCCGTCCTGATTCTTCACCTCCACAACAACTCCCACCTGCAGCAGAAAGGAACTGTTAACACTGAAATGGAATAACCGGTCTAATGAATCTGGATCTGAGTTAATGGTGAGAGTTAATAGGTGAGCTGTTAAGTAAACAGTACTAATGGAAATGTATGCATGTAAGTGCAGACACAAAATACATCAGTGTCCCAGTTTGTATATAGATACATCTTGAGGTATCAGTATAGTAGTCTTCCTAAACATTGTTATTCAGGGGTTTCAGAGTGTGTAATGACATATTTGCACTGTAGCAATTGATAATCTCTAACTAAATATTCCATCTTTTTAATCATAAAAAGAATTCAAAATGGTAGCTATAACGGTGCGGGGGATACGCACTTATAAGCCATTACTTCCGCCTACCCCATTTTGGCTCTATATATTAATGTGTACTGATAATGCACGTGCAATTTATTATGTAAAATTGTGCAACTGAGCTAAACATTAAACTAAAAACTAACACAAGTTAAAACTCATGTTTGGAGTAGTGTGTGAGAAAATGTAGTAGAAAACACCAAATTACTAAAATTTTAAGGAGTGTGCACATAAACTGTTTATTCAAAAGAAAAACCTAACAAAATCACAGAATCAAAATGTCTGTCTAGGATAGATTCCCCTAAAATTACAATTTAGAGCATATATTTATTAGTTTCTCTGCTCTGGTAAATTTGCATTATATTGAATGACTGCTGTAATGTGATGCAATGAAAAGGTTAGAACTATATTAATGAAAGAAGTCCCTACAATTGGCTGGGGGCTTTTTAAGGATAATTTATTTAAAAATATGTGTGTGCCGACAGAGTCCCAGCTGAGCCAGGTAGAGCTAGCTCCTGTCTTACCTTTAGCGGCCCTTTGATGCTGTCATCATGAACCTCGGCCGTGGACAGATCTGCTTTAAAGGTCACCTGAGGAAGAGGAAGCAAAGGGAACGATCAGTCACAGCAAACAAACATCTCCCTACAGGCCGGCCTGACTCACTGATCCCACACTCAGTACAGGAAAACAAGATGAGAAAAGGCTTTATATTATGATGTATTTGAACAGAAAAATAGGTGAAAATGTACGTACAGGAAGTATGCAAGAAAGGATTTGGACAAAATATGAAAGTATATATAAAAAAACAGTAGCCAGGAAGGTACTGTTCCCACTCCTAGTCATAAGTGTCAGCTCTGTTAATACTAGGGTTTCCAGAGAAAAAAAACATTGTCAAAGTTCTAGTTGTCAAAAGGTGCACAAATGATTCTCTCCATTCATATGTTGTTGGGATGCCTGGAGTATTCCACAGTTTGGCATTAAATGTATCCCCCATACATTTATTGAGTTACAAGAAATGCTGAAAGTATAGCTAATGAATATCTTTTGAAAAACATGACATAACTGTGAGCAGACTTGCCTTATCAAGATGATCTGCTTATTTAAGTTTAATGCCATACTGTGGAACATTCCAGGCAAAGCAACACTAACTCCATTGACGCAAACAGCAAACCAAAATGACATAGTGCATTTCTGTGTTGCACTGTGTCATTTTGCCCTAGTATGATTATAACGAACTTTGAATAGAAAGAAATGTTTGGGTTACATGTCATGAACAAATTTGTGGTTAATCATATTTGCATCCATCAAAGATAATTCACTCGAGATAGAATGCATTATGCAATGATGTATTCGCCAATGAGATTTTGTTAGGTCAGTAATTGACAACACTCATTAATCATTTCTGTAATCTTTAGAAAGAAAAGGGCATAGCAGTTTACTAGAGAATTTAACCAATAACTGAAGATACCCATTCGCCAGTTGCAACCATTCGTAACGTAATGCCTTGGTGGATGTCTATTACATTTTATTTCAAGTACCTTATTCTTTGACATCTCTGAGCTCTTGCTTAGATAAGACATTCAAACAATTACTCAGTCTGCTAAAGTGGGAATCAAAATGACAAATCATAGTTCGCACTGCTCCACTTGAAGTAGCGCTGTCACAATACTCAAATTTCAGCCTCTATCTGTCTTTTTAAAAATAGTCTTTTTACACAAAATAATGCTAAACTTAAATATAGCTCAAGATCATAGTAAATCTTTTTTTTCATTAATGTGATTTTTTCAGTAGTGCACAAATGAGTATCTAGTTTCGATATTAGTTTACTCCATTAGTGCCTGTATGGATTTTTTTTTTTTTACTGAAATGGCTTAGTTTGTACTTTGACATAATGTTTGAGCCCAAGCTTAGATAAGACATTCATAATTCAAAAATGGCTCTGCTAAAGTGGGCATCCAAATGACATCTCTTGGCTCATATTGCTACATTTGAGGTAATCATAAAATATTGCAGCAGTATCGCACACAGACCTCTCAGTGACCCTTGTTTGTCGGCCACAGGAGCTGCTGTCTGCTCTATTGTTACTGCACCTCCCCCCTCAGCATCTGCAGCCTCCCGAAGTGAACCACGCAGGGCTCATAATCAGATCAGAGCTTGGTAAGCTTACATTTGCACGGAGACCTGGCAACGCGACCAAACTCCAGCGACTCAAATATACTCACAGATTTTTACTGTCGCATATTTTCCAAGAAGCATGTGTGCAAAGTGAGACATGGCCAGAAACAGCGGAATCTGTTCAGTGTTACAAATATGTCTGTCGATATCGAGTCTCAAATGTTCATATGTTTTCTCTTTGCTTTGATTTCGGAAAAACAAGTAATGTAAGACAATCAGCCAGAGTATCATGACCGGCAGTCTATTGCATACTGTACTATCCTGACTTCATTTGGTTATATTTTGCATGTATAAATTTACTTAAACACACAAACACAAAGCCCTGTTTTAATTAAATAGCCGTTTTTAAATCTACATCGGGTTTGACGAGAAAGTGTCACAAATTACTAAAACAGGGTATCTCCAGGTTTGACTACCCCAAATCTAAGACTTTTTTAAGACCTTTATAAGACCACTTACATGGAAATTAAGACCAACATCACACTCATTATGTGGGCGAAAAACACCAGATCCATTTCTAATAATGGCCAACCAACTGCTATGTCTAGAATCTAAGAGCCACTGTGGATTAAACCTACACATCCCCATGATCCATCCAACGTCGTCCTCCACTGTACTGATTGTTTACTTATTGCCACCAGCGCAAGAAACCAAAATGTTGTATTAGAGATTCATTCACATTACATGATTTCACAATGTTGTTTTGTATATATTAAAAAAATAAAATAAAAATAGGCTAATGAAATTTAAGATCTTTGTGAAAAAAATAAAACTTGAACAACATAATTTAAGACTTTTTAAGGCCTTAATTTAGGAAAATGACATTTAAGACCTATTAAGACTTTTAAGACCCTGCGGCTACCCTATAATAACACAAAGTAAGTGAGGTCTATATTTTATCTACATGTTACTTTTCACAACAAGTAATTGTTTGAAATAATTGTGATTTCAGTTATGAGATAAGTAATAAGTATATTTGTGTTGTAATCCATCAGAACTAGATTTATTTATATATACACTATATTTTTATTAAGTATAGACAAATATTGTGCTTGTACTAAGATGATTTGTACTTGTACCATCTTAATTATGGCAATTTGAATAGGTGCAACAAGTCACGCTGCAATAACGTCCTCAACAATGAAATATTCTGTACTACATAAAAATGAATAACCCTGTAGTTTAGATCTGTACAGACATGTTCTGAAATGTGATTCTTGCATTGGTTTGTCAGTTCATATTTCAGTCTTTTAATTAATTCTTCTGGATGCTTTTAAAAAGGTGAACTTTGAACAGAATCCTTTAATTAAAACATAAATGGCAAATCTAATCACAATTGCAAGGCTCGTTATAAAAGTTGCAATTAGATATTTTTGCCAAATTGTTCAGCCCTAATTTGTACCAGTTTTGCTGTAGATTCTTGAACTTATTTTACTGCTAGTTTTAATACAGTGTTTGATTTTAGTTCAGCTTTTAAGATGATTCTGCTGTACCTTTTTATTGAGCCACTGTGATTTTCCTCAGTATAAATCATTTTTGTCAAGGTCCATGCCAATTACTGGTGATCCACTTTTGATACCGTGTGGCTATGGTAGATTGCCGGATTTTCCAGCTTGTGACAAAATGCGCAATGTCAATGTGGTAAACAAACACTAAAAAACAGGCCAATTTGTCAAGGCTACAAGACACTCAGCGCATCCTCAAAACTGTTGTTCAAATGTGGTATTGGTCTGTAGGGGACGGTATCCAAGGTTTGAAAAGACAAGGATTAGAATAGTGATTTATACGACATGTGGTTTGATCAGAATGCTTCATCGGTGTCATTATTGGTGTTTTTTAGATTTTAAAATGCAATAATGTGGGGGGTGTACTTTACCATGAATTATCCAAAAGGTAAATTCACAAATGTTGCACCTGATTATTTCTATAAGTGCCTAGACCCAAGAACTCTCTGTAGTAGATGAGATATTTTAACAATATTAATTTTAGCTGCCCTACATCGGTGTTAAATATTATTGGCCTATAAAATGTTTTGATGTCATCTGAAACTCAGCCATAGATTACATTGTACTTTGCCAACAGGTAAAGACACGGTCAAATTCGATTTCTGTTGTAATACAATAAATTTATTGGGTCTAGTCAATTATACTGATCAAGTCCAACATTTGTGTCAATTTGTATTAAATATTAATGGCCAATAAAATGTGATTAATTAAAATGTCATTTGAAACCTAATAGTGTAAAAAATATCCTTGATCCTAAGGTTATGGGCTGTCTCTAAAACCACATCTTTTATAGATTAATCTCCTTGACTGGCTGCATTTCTATTGCTTTTTATTTTGTTCTGATTCAGCAGTGCAGCAGGAATAAGACGCACAATATCCGAAACAACCCTCCAGGAAATGCATTTTAGATGAAGCACTTGAGTCATTTTCCAATTTACAACAATGCCAGAAACAGCTTTCAAAGTCACAAAAAGGAGCCAACTTGAGACAAAAAAGTGAGAGATACAGAGTGCTAAGAGATATTGGATTGTCAGTTCATTAAATAACATGGAACAAAGCACATCCCTTGGTGGTGTTTCACTCGTTTGTAGATAATAGTCGAGCTCCCAGATGGGTAAAACAAGTTCATATTTTCACATTGAAGAATCGCTCCACTCAGACACACTACGAGGAACTGTCAATAAAACCTGACCCCTCACCTCAAAGGTCCCCTCTTCTCGAGACAAGAGCAGAGGCAGTGTGCAAACAAGCTCCATCATTACACCACTGCTAACAAACACAGTGAGAAGTCAGGCTCTCATCTCTAGGCCACTGTGAGATTATAAAAAAGGGTGTAGTAAGTACTGGAGTGGTTTTTCAAAGTCAGTTTTTGCATTATTTAAAAGAGGCCATAGATTGAGTTTGCATTGTCTAATCTTGGCAAACATAATGTGTGTCATGTCATGTTTGTTTTGCAATGCTATATTGTAAAGTCGCCTTAAGTCACTTCTACTTTTCAGTGAGTTTGACCTTTTGCATAAATATTTATTTACCCTTTAAGAAATATGTCAATTTCTTTTTAAACTGTTTTTAAAGCTGGGATATTAGCTTTTATCCTTGTATATAAACAAGATTTGTTTCTTCCCCATAGATTACACTGTAAAAGCAGCACTCCTTGATTTTGATAGAATAGGTTTCAGAGGGTAGTAGTCATCTAAATGTTTTCTTTTTTTTAATCGAGACATTTCTGCTTACTATCCAGAAGCCAATATCAACCCAGAGTAAAGATCCTGATATCTCACTTATAGATCTTGTGATTAGTTGGGCGAAGCTGGTCTACCCAGTCATTGTCTATACCTGACGGAAAGTAAAAATGAATAGCAACACACCATAGTAAGACCTCTAGGAACGAGAAGTATTCAGAAATATACTTCCTCTTTTTGAGGTGTGAAAATTAGGCATTAACAGGTTTCATATTACCATTTTTACAATGCAGGAACATTATGCTTGTGTGCCAGCTTTGGGTGGGTTGTTCATATTTTTCTTATTAGATGAATGACCACTTAAAATAGCTGAAAACAGGAAAGTCATGTTGCTTATGAACCAATGGTTCTGTAAAGTGAGTCATACAAGATCATACATTAAGACTGTTTGAGATTTGCTGTTATACATTCTGTTAATAGGTCAGCCATTTCTTAGTCAAGCCAGACAACAGTAAAGTATAGAACCTAAAATGCATAAGCTTATTTTACTGTTGATCACAAAAGACGGAGCCAAGATCAGTCAAACAGCTGTGATACACAATATTCAATATGTTATAATAGAATTTACATTCTCCCCAGATATACTCCAGGCAAGATCTTATTAACTTAAGGCTATTAAACTCAGAGCTTTCAGAAAAATTCCAGTAATCCTCGCTCACTCGATGATAATCCATGTCTATTCCAATCATGTATCTCTCAGCTCCAAAGTAAGCACCCACATTTTTTCCATTTGACCCTTTTCATTCGTTCATCATAGTGACTCAAGTCAATACTAGTTCTAAATGACATATGCCAATAGTTCACTTAACATAATTTCACCTTAAAAACTCTGTAGCGAAATCCTATCCTCCTTTAATCAAGAAGATTAAAAAAAGAAAAAAATTGGATTGTTACCAAAAAAAAAAAAGAGAGTGATTTCATAACTATTGCATAACCCAATCCGTTCGAATCTTGGGATAAGACACTTAAGAAATCAAGTCTATTTTGGAAAGGAATTTACATTAAGAAAAAAAAAAAAAGGAAAAAGGAAATGGCAGAGTGGTTATCCTCATCGTCACCTCCATGTACTCTGTGTGTACACATACAGTATATATATATAGACTTGTTTACATTCAGTCTTTTCTTGAGAAAAAACATTTCTTCACAATTTATGAAGTGTTGTTCAAACTTGGCATGAAATAAAAAGAAAAGAAAAACAAAAAAACAAAACATTTGACATTAAAATCCATATTAATGTCAAGTCATTTTGAAAATTATTTTAAGAAACAAATGTGTGTTGAGCTTGTTACACTGCCTCTGGGCCTCCTCTGATAGAAAAATGTGATAACCATCCATAATGAGCAAAACTGGCATGGCGTTAATTCATTTTTTGTAGTTAAAATTATCGTTGTCATAAATAAAATATGCCAAATCTTTTTAGCAGGTTTTAAAAATCACTCAAAAAGACACTGTTGCATACGCTGCGACTTCTGACTTTGTTTAACAAGCTGACAGAGATAAATGAAGCATGGCGCTATAGAGAAATTGATTACAATGAAAAATTCAGCTTTGAATAATGGCCATGTTACAACATTTGAGACACAAAGCTTCAACAATACGTTTAGCCCAAAAGAAAACGAGTGCTTAATTAGTTTAGTAATTAATTTATGAAATGAGCCTGCGCCATTATCCTCCATTTTGTGTCTGTATGGTTTAGATCATTGCCTCATTTGTGGTGGAGGACAAATGGCTGTATCGCTTAAACTGACTTGGTAGGAGTATATATTATACAAGTGAAGTAATAAGTAGTATGGAAAAGAATTATAATTTTGTAAGTAAATCATGTTCAGTGTTTTATGTTTGTAGATTACGTAAAATGTAATCTATGTTTTTTTTTCTTTTATCTTCATAGTTAAAGGACCTATACCCAAGTCCACTGTGTACTATCTGCATCTAATTAGAAAGCATTTTATTGCTCAAGAATCAGGAAATGCTCGTTAGCATGCTAGTTGTTGTTAGCTTTACCATCACTGCAAGACTGTGTGGAGACTTGTGAAAAGAACTTAGAAACTCAACATGGTGAATAATTATGATGCTCTAAATGCATAAAGTATGTGAGGAAAACCTTTGGACCAGTGCAAATCATTTAAAACGAACTGGTTTTGTTTTTCACATTTTTAAAAGATCAGTTACAAAGTCTTTAAGTCTTTGCTAAAACATAACTCAATCATTTTGTACCTTGAGGTGAGTATTTAATGCAAAGTTAAGGTTGAATTGTATTGATAGGACCTCGAATAATATGCCAAGAGATTTTCAAAAGAACTTCTGTTTAAAGCAAATCTATTATGTGTAGATGAATAATGATGACATCTAAATTGTTACCTAAAAAAGGTTTACAGTAGTTGTAGAACTTGTCATTTTTCTTACAAGGACAATAACTTACCAGCTTCTACAGTAGATGTCGGTAAGTTATTGTTCTTGTAAGGAAAATGACAATGATCTCAACCAAAAAAGACACAAAATTAAGGATAACAGCACAGTTTCATTCAGTTAATTAAGTACTAAACTAATTAAGCTTGCATTTTCTTTTGGGCTAAATGTATTGGTTCGCTGAGAGTAAAAGCATTTATTAACAAAGATGGCAAGTCTTTGTTTTGATATCCTCCACCCGCTAATTTCTTTCAATATTTGTATCATATATTATTTTTACTTTTTACTTTACACCCTAGTTATTATTTAGCTAAACTATTCACTTGTGATATTTGTCATCTTTTACAATTCAATAAATGGCACGTCTCAATCATGTTTTATCTATTTTGAGTAGGGGGACTGTATATCAGTAAATGGTAGCAAGCAGCCAATCTGTGTCCCTCCCACACGCTGTTAGCAAAACGAAAGACAAGCCATCCGTCTCCATTGTGTTATCCAGATGCCGAGGCTCCACCGGGAGAACAGCCACTGCAAGACGTGAATCAAGCAACCCATAAAGACCACTGGGACATCGGAGGGAAACAAGCATCACCAGAGAGGGGTCCCCCGTGGAAGCGGGAGAGGAAGGGGAACCTGCTGGACTACGACAGGAGATTTACAAAGCAGCAGAGTAAAGCAGGACCGAAGAAGTTTGTCGGTAATGCGGTCGTCCAAACAAAACAATTATAAGTTATCTTGATGAAACATAAGCATCAGTGAAAACCCCAAAGGAAAAGACCATTTTAGAGAGGGAACATTGGCTGAAATAGATGTTGAAGATATGTATTACACAGCGGGGCAAGAATGATAGTGACTTTGCAGGAGAGAAAAGGCTGAAACTGGACAATTTGGGCTTTGATATAGTGAAGGTAGAGCTGCACAGTTTGAGAAAAATACCCAATTGTGATTTTCCTGACAAGCATTGTGATAGTGATTGTGATGGTTTCAATTCATAAAGTACAAATTTTAAGTAGAGTCCAGGAGAAGTGACAAAAAGACGTGAAATATGAACTGACAATACTAGTAATAATACAAGAATCACATGTATTTCAGGGTTATATTTTTATGCTGAGTAAGACTGAATATTTTGTTGTTTGTGGAGGAAATTATGGTACTTCAAAAGTATAAGCTTCGCAATTTGTTATTTGCTAATTGCGTCCATTCAAATAGCAATTTTGATTCGATAAGTATTCATCTTGTAGACCTAAAACTGATTTTATATAAATTGGTGTTAAAGGATGTTTTGTAAGTTGGTGCGTATAGAGTGATACTGTAAATATTTTTAAATAGTTAAACAATATGCTGATACAGAAAAAGTAGAAAACTAAAAGTACCAAGCACAGATTTCCATTAAGGCACCCAACCTCAATGTTAAAATGACCATTCAGTTCAAGGGTAATTAACTTTTTAATTCATTGAACTACAAGGCCATTAGTCTTATATGCTAATTGTAAATTGCTAGTCCTTTTTCTGCTGCTATTGACTGGACTTAGTATTTTTGACCTTTACATTAAATGCTATAGAATATTCTAGGATTAAAATATAAAATATATTAATCTGAAACTGATATTTTCTGATATACTGTATACTAATAGCCAAAAATAAATCAAACCCTAGAGAAAATTACAAAAATGACTAAGACTTCATCATCAAATATCCCATACTGTGCTTTAGCCAAGTGTCTTTTGGTCTAATTCAGTGAGTGATTCAGCCAAAACCCTCTTCTCTTCATCCAACAGCAAAGGACACAAAACATGTTTAATATTGGAGCAGCTGAAGAGTGACTTACCTTGGCCTTGACCAGTCTCTTGGCCGTCTTAATCTTGGCCTCGCAGAACGCCCCTCGGTACTTGGCGCTCACGTCCGTCCCTACCGTTAAGTAGGGGGGCTCCTCCAAAGTCTGTGAAGGGAAAATAAAAGTGTTAGGGCTGCTCTAGATGTGTTTATTTTGTTCAATTATAAAAAGGCAAGACTCACAAACATTAATCCATTTTGTTAATCATAACCCAAGTGACAAATTATACCTTTTTAAAAGCATGTCAAAAAGTCAATTATAATTGATCTATCTAAAAGTTGTCCATTTGGATATTTCTTATAAGCACTTAATGGCAAACAGTCATTTATTCACACTTAGAGAGAAGAAAGAAAAGTGATGTCCTGCCCAAAGAAACAATAGCAGCATAATAATCAAATCAACAACTCATTAGGTCAATATTTTCACTTTTTAGTATATCAACCTGCTGCCTAAAGAATACACACTAAGCTTAAGTTGAATGCTTGAGTGTGAAAAGATAGCTGCACAAATAGGGATGTAACAGTAACTAAAATATCGTGATATTGTATCATTAACGTTCTCACAATAATATCGTGGACCATCACAGTACATCAAATTAAAAGTCTCTTTGCTTAAGAGTTATGGCGCAGCAATAGCTAAAAAGACAGAGGGAACGACACCAACCATGATCCTTTGCTCCATTTCAGTGTATATTTCAGTGTAACTATAATAGATAAAAGTGCTTAGAACTGTTGTTTCTATTAAGTTTTAGTTCTTTGGATTTAATCTTGTTAAGGCAATTAAAGAGGAAAAAGTAGCATGTTCACAACCTCCACAAAATATCTCAATAAATATCATACCGTGAGATGTATATCATTAAAATATCGTACAGAGAGATTTGGATATTGTTACGTCCCTAATTGTGAGTTTCCCCACGATATCGCAATAAAAATCGTACCATGAGACTTGGATATCAACAGCTCTCTTGAAAGGGCTATGAGTGAGTTTATATATAATAAATGTAACAAAACATAATTTGGTGAAAATAATCTAAATTTACACTATATATGAGCACAAAACATAAGCAAATCTTATCTACTATTGATTCCATATTCTAAAGAATCTTTCACAAAATTCAACAAAAAGTTACAGGCTATAGGATTTCCCAAGTGTTTTATTCTAATGTTTATTGTAATGTGACTGTTGACTTCTCAAGTATAAAGACCCAAGCTGATCATTGACAATTAAACAAAATGACAGAATCTCAATCTCAATTAAAATTCAATTAATTCCCCAGCCCTAAATCTAAGACATCTGAATAATAAATGAGGCCTAAACAAACAGGTGTACTGAGTAGAGTCAGGGAGGACACAGGCGCACAGAGGCTAGATGTGCTACTCGCTCTCCGTGAATCATCCATAGAAAACTCATACCATCTGCTCCTGCTGCCTGAAAAACAAGGAACAGAGGGGCACTTAGCCACTGCTTTGATGACTGCAGCAACAGATGAAGCCTCCTTAGTCACATAACAACAGATCTGTGCGGGTAAAGATTTTCAAATGGAGGTTACCAGACGGCCAAATGCTGAGAGACCTATAGTCAATATGATGATTAATTAACGCCTTGTATTGATTCTTCCTTTTTAAACGGACTCTGACAATGACTGCACTTTTGAGAACACAATTTGCATTATACATATGGTAAATGGTAATGGACACATTTTTATACTGCGCTTTTCCACCTTCAAGGCACTCACAGCTCTTTACATTAAGGAACCACTCGCCCATTCACACACAATGAGCTACTGTTGCCATATGACATGAAGCAAACAGATAAAACGCTTCAAAATGCCATCAACAGCATTTTTAAAATTGACTTTTACTTTTTATTTGGTAGAAATCCCAATCAATGGCAGCATTAGGAAAAAAAAAAAAAAAGGTAACACTTTAGGTTAGGGACCACATATTAATAGCTATCTAATATAATAATAAGTGCCTAATTACATTTTTGTTAGTATTTATAAAGTACTTTCAATGCATTTTTGCCTAAGGCTGTATTTTGCAAGTATTATGAACCGTTTTCTTCCCATTACAGTAGTGGGGATTACAATGGATGTTTTGTACATACACTGAAATTTTAATAAGCATTAATACGTGCTTGGTAAATACCAACTTATAGCTAAGTAACAGCTTATGTGCATACAAATTACCACTTAGTTAGCAATTAATATGTGGTCCCTAAACTAAACTGTCACCAAAAACATATATATATATATATATATATATATATATATATATATATAGTAATAATTTGCAAGTCATTCCAAGCTAGAAAGGGTTTAAATAGTAGAGATGCACCAATCCAGTTTTTCAATTCTAGCTTTAATTATCTGCCAATTGCCGATATCGATACCAGCGCAGAGACTGAAAACAGCATTTAGACAAAACTGAGTGTTTGTACAAAACCAAGTGTTTGTATAACTTCATCATTATTATTACTATCTGCACTACTAACCTGCATACATACATTCAACTTTACGACATATAAACCATAATGACTCTAGAGCCACATCAATCCGTTTGAGATTATAATGTGTTTAACGCAGTTTTGCGCAAATCTCACAAAAACGAAACTTAAAACCGCATCGCTAATTTGCAGAAACTAAGCAAAGATAAAACTACAGCTCTTGTGTCGCTGATGCGGTCAACTTCTGTTGGATTAAAAGACATGACTCAGTGGAATACAGGTTAGTGTGACCATATTTGCATTTGTCAAAACCAGGACACCGTACGGGAGGTGGGAGGTGGGGACTCGTCATTGACATTGCGCGACTCTCACCTGTCAAAACTTTTTCCCACTGTGCTGCTTTATACACTGTGCACATGGACTCACACTTGTCCCGAACGCAACGGAAAGCGTGGAATTTCTTGTACAAGTCATCGTTAAATACGCATTTGCGTTGCAGACTGACCGACTGTTTGTGTTTGCTCGCTCCTTCTGAGTGCAGAGAGCTACATGTATGGACCCCTGTTTGGTCACGCTACGCACAGCAACCTACATTCGGTTTGTCGATTAAAATGAACGTAATCGATGAAATTCTTAATGATCAATTATCGATTAATCGATTAATCATGCCCATCCCTACTCTGAAGTAACTACAGGACAACTTTGTCTTAATAAAACTTTCAACATTACAAGACTTTATAACAAGAATGTATAAGCCAATCTAGGATATAGATTGAAGTAATATTTTTGAAGCTGAAATCCAATATCCGATATCCGTTATCTGATCCAGCAAATGTTACCAACAGAGCTGATCACATGTACAGACTATGGCACTTTCTCACGCCTGGTGAAACCAAACCTCCACCCATAATGTGGACTGATGAGTGTCTGGAGAGAGTGTGATGTTCTGGAGTGAATGAACTGAATGATGACTTTGGTAAGGATGATGATTTTAAGGTGCTGAGAGAACTGGGTGCGAACAATGATACAGAATTGCTATGATGCTTCAGTCATTATAAAAGACATTCTCTTAGTATGTTTGATTTTTATGAACTATAACATCAACCTGCCCAGGGACGACAGGCGGAAATTAGCATGGGCATTACAACCTGGTACAATGCATCTCTTCTGTTAAAGTGAATGTATATTGTGCACTATCCCTGTCTCATCAAATAAATAAACTAAATAAACTAAACAAATTTCTCAGTACAGGCGCCGATATTAGATGCCAGTATTGAATCAGTGCTTCCCTATTAAACGTAGCCATAAAGTTAAATACAGTCAGATAATCTAATCAATAAACTGTCATTCTGATTATCGATTTAAAAGTACTGGTTTGGGGTGTTGGCATTTATACTGCCCTACGCTCCTCAGAACAGTATCTGGATTGATAATGGCTCTCTGGATGACACCTGAAACATCTTGATTTCAAAAACATTTTCTCCCATAGATCATTCCTGGACGAATGCGGGATTACATAGATTATAGTTTTATGAATTATAGAATTATAGAGATCAATGCACGTCTCCCAGTGTGTACAGACAGCTAAGAAAATGCCATTATACCAATGTTCATCATCTAACACGATCACAATATCAATATTAACAATGAGCAGAATTCCAGAGCCTATAATAAATTCTCAGAGGATTTCAATGACTAGTGTATACATTTTGTCTTGTGGGAACTCTGCCTAGACACACAGCTCCATCCTCTCTGTTTGATTAGACTAAATAAGAAAAGCAAACTTGAAGCAATCTTTAAGTTTGCAATGGCATTCAGTACAGACAAAGTATCTCTCTGGTTACAATTACACACAGCAGAAATACCTCAGTGAGCTCTTTCAGACCTAATCTAATACAAGTGTGTCTAAACTGCTGTGAATGGGAGCTAAAGTGGGCCACACCTCCAAATGACACAACTCAATGGGACAATTTTCAAACCGGCTTCCATGATTAGTAGGTTAACTTAAAGCAACTCCAACACTTTGTAATAAAAAGCGACGTATTTCACAAGAATATTTTAAAACTTTGCAATTCAAGCAATGTTCAAGGACTCTGTAATTATCTGCTACACTAATGCCCTTAATGCACTCTTACAAAGTAGAATATAATTAATAGTAAAGTAGCAGAGTATTAATCAAAGAATAACCACTTTAATACATTTTTCTTTTCCATAAAGATATCTATAGGAGGTTTTCGTAAATGTAAATACTAACTGATTTAGACAAGAATTTTTCACAGTTAAGAATACAATACCGTGAAAAGTGTAACATGTGACCTGTTCCTAGGCATTGGCCCTACTTCGCAATGGTATTCCTTAGCTTCAAAAGAAAGTTTATCATGCTGGTACTCTGACAACTGCTAGTTCAATTTCATTTAACCATGATGTTGTACTACAAAGGCAAATATTTATCCTATTAGTTGATTAAATGCACTCCTAGTTCTATTGCGCCATTGACAAAATATTGACCCATCACTGACCTCCATTAACAAAAATCTCATTTCAGTCTGGCATTTCTACAAGGATAATCCTAAATGAACAGACAAACACTGTAAACAAAGCTATCATATAATGTGCATTTTAATCTTCCAGCGCTATTCAGACCCATCTCATTTGCTACC